TGAGATCAATTTCTGTCTATTCGTTTCGTTACGAAACTTCATTCTGGAAGAAATAAAAATTTATTTAGAAATGGTTTATCAATTTAAACTATACGGATAATTTACAGATGTATCAGTGGTATAAAACGTTTAAGAAGACGATCCTGGTCAGACAGACGGATGGAAAATGGCGACTCGAAGTACCGCGAACGGATCACTGAGAATGGCGTTCCAAGTATGAGGAACATCGTTAACCAGCCGTGACGCATCTTCCAGAAATCCGTGCAATCGGAAAACTAAAATCGTATGGGGACAAGACAGATCGGTCGGGCGGCGTCTGTCGCCTGCTCATCCGGCGAGCAGGAAGCGAAGAACCACCCGTCGAAATAGCAACGGGACCATTAATGTTCATTAGTGCAACGATTTCACGGAGTTACGTACGGTGCGGTTATAATATTTATAAATGATCGAACAGATGATGTACGAAACACCAAGGAAATTTAACCGTAACCGACATCCCATCCGTAGACTCGTTGATACGTAAAACAAACCTACGATTACTTGGAAAAGCTGGTCTTATTATGTGAAACGGATAAGTCTGTATTTAGAAAAATAAATATAATCATTGTCAGTGTTTATGTTGAGGGGTTACATACCTTTGTGCTGTTAAATAAGAGGGAATATTAAAAAATGTGTTTCTATATGCAGAATTATTAGTTATTAAAAATTCAATATATACATCTTATTATATGTTATTTTCTTAGTAATTGCGAAAAAATTGAGTTATGTATCTATTAACAGAAGAAAATGGCTGCCAGACCCTGAATTCAAAGCTCTATACACTGCGGTAAACTCCATTAAAAAATCAGCGTTACACCTGGAGACCTTTCCTTGCCATTACCAAGGAGCCTTCGAACACTCATCGATGATTTACTGTATTCTATTATATGCACGTAAATTTAGCCGAGACTCCGTGACATTCATTTCAAAGAAATTTGAAAATGAACTATTTATCTCTTCGTTATATTAATTTTTTACCACTATGTCAATTAAACACCGAATGACTTTAGTTATGAAAATCAATTAATAATACCTAATTGTTCTTAAATCACACGAAAGAATCATCTATCAACATCATCGTTGCACCTACGAGAAAAACCATCCACGAATCACGATCAACACCGAGATCAAGGTTTGTAAAGAATCTTTCAATTTGCATACGAAAGAAAAAAAAAAGAAACATCATTTCTCCTACAAGAAGTACCATTCACCAAACACGATCAACACCAAAATCAAAGCCTATAAAGAATCTTTCGGTTTGCATAAAAAAAAAAAAACGGCATCGCATCTCCTACAAAGAATTCCTACAATTCACGAATCACGATCGACACAGAGATCAAGGCCCGTGAAAAATCTTTCAATTTGCAAAAAAAAAAAAAAATAAAAATCATTTCTCCTACAAGAAGAACCATCCACGAACCACGATCGACACCGAGATCAAGGCCCGTGAAGAGTCTTTCGTTGTGCATAAAAAAGAAAGAAAAAAAAAGAAGAAGAATAGACAGAGCGTCGGCGTGCCGCGAGAGGGAAAACGAGGAAGTGGTCCGGACGAAATCGGAACCCGCGGGGTTGTACGGCCGGAGAGGACCGTCTTCAGCATCGACCTCGAAGCGGATCCCATTGGCTGACTCGTCGGTGGCGGGCCAGAAGAAGTTGGTGCGCGCTCTCGCCCTCGTCGACGAACAACGACGTCACGGTTCTATTCCTGGCCGTGTGGACGCAGCGATATCTTTAGAGCGACCATCTCGGTACAGTCCGTTTCCGAGCTTTCCCTTCCTACGGGACGGTTTGCTGGCTTGCCAGCCAGCCAGCCGCGCGGGAACACGACAAAGATGATTCGTTTCGCCTCCAAATTCGACGTCCCGTAACGTCATCGTTTCGCCGTGTTGAAACGCGAGACACGTTTCGTGCCGCGTCTCGACGTCCGATTTTGACGGATCGTTACGGAACGAACATCTGGACCGGTTATAGAGGATGGTGAATCGGTTCTGGGGAAATGTTCCCATAGAAATAGAAGCAGGCTGGATCGTTTCGACGAAAATGGTTTTAATCGATTAGGTTCAAAAAGAGTATACAGAGAAATGGTGTAGACGAAATTTTGGGAAAAAGGAACTTTTGGATCTACTAGCTCTGATCATGGTTGACACAGAAAAAGGGTCTTAACCCTTCGATTTTCGGTTCCTTCGAACACAAAAATGTTTTTTATTATGTTTTTTATTGACATAGAAAGAAAGGCTCAGAGCTTCAATCCTTAGTTCAATCGACTGGTCTTAACCACCGTGATCGCGATGCCCCCAACACTTTCTTTATGTTTCCTCCTTTTCTTTAAAGAGATAAAGAGAAGGATTTACTGTATGTCTCTGGGAGAAGGTACGACGGATTCCGGAAGCGGAATGACCGAACTGACGAACCGATGTGTGTATCTCTAAATAAAGCAAGCACGACTTCGGGTGTACTGTCGATTGCAGTCGGTGGCCTGTGTCTAGTCCCCACATTGAATTATCTGTTGGTCTTGGAGCACGGCCAATCGCCGAGGAAAAAGTATGGGTGAAAATAAGATTGATGCCGTGCAACCGACTGAAACGAATCGTTTCGGACGTGCAAAATTAAGTCGGTTTACATTCGATTTTCTTACAAAGTAGGTAATGACCGCGAACGCACGCTGAAACAGCGATAGAACAATAACGTCCGCGACGGGACAATAAAATCTGGATCGTCGAAAATGGATAACTATGTATTTGTCCTTTTAGACAACTGAATGCATATCTCACTCGTGTTTCTAGGTCCTAATTTTTCTTTCGGTTTTTACAATATCTTCGTATGATTCTGCATGGACATCAAACGTTAACTATAATTGATATTATTTTGAAACTTATGTAACTCTTAATACAGAAAATGTAAATCCATTTTTATTTTCATTACTAGTCTGTGACAGATGATTTTTCATGAATATTCGTAGCATAATAATTATTAACGCCTGGACTGATATTTATTCATATATAACATCTCCTAACCTACGAAACGAAGTAAATTAAAGATTTCAATGAAAGATAATACAATTCATTATTCATGCATTATCATGATTCCATATGCTTATTATTAATACATATGTTGAACTCCCTAACACAAAAAGAAAAATTCTGTCCAATTTTACTTAATATATTCGTGAATAATTGCGAATTTATATAAATTCTAAAACCATTAGTAAAAGAACATTAATTACACTACCAAAAAATGTGCGTGCCATTTCGCTAAAACAAAATGGCGAATCATCTATTGGTACACGCCTAACAGTTCGTATAATAGAGGCTTCTATTGTAAATACATACAAGGAAGTCATGTCCCGTTCCAATTTGTCCATTTGATTTAACATTGACTACGTCAAGCAAAAATATTGACCTGGGAAATGGATATTGTCTGTTGAAAGTGGCCGGAAACCAAAGATAATAATCCTCAAACGGACTGTGCCATCTTTCGTTCATACGTGGCACACCTTTGTTCGCCATTGCACGTAAAACCGCGACACAGGCGAAGTACAGTAGACACTCGATAATTGTCGGTGCGTTAATTGATCACTGTCGCCCAGCACGTCCAGAACGCAATATACATATACGGTGTCGCGTTTAACTCGCATACAGTACCGGACAAATGTTTTCAGGCAAAAATCTGTATTATTTGAATTAAGGATACTACTGACGTTACATTAAATAATCAATGCCTGTCTTATATAATTGTTGTTTTCTTAGATCGACCACATTCGATATATTTTCTAAATGTCCTCCTCGGACAAATTGTTTATTTTGTTGAATATACCGTCTATTTAGGGATGTACACAGATCGAGAAACTATGGATGATGGCGCTCCATTTGAGCAGTCTATGATATTCTGTTTTAAAATTGTTGGTGAACTTTTACCAAGTACCAATCAATAATGGATAAAATAATGTGTATAATGGAGATGACTGAATGTCGCCGCAGCTCTAAACAACCTGAATGCTATCGCATAACCGTCAAAATTCCGTCTTGTTATCCCAGGACTTCCGTCTGTGAACGTCCCGCGCCGTGTTGCGCGCGAAATAATAAAGAAAATCATGGACGAAACGTGAAAAACTTCAACATAAGACATGATTTAAATCCCAGTAATCTTACCCAGTAATTAACCGGTCCATCCCCCAAGGTGAATTGCAGCGACAATGAGGAACGCGAAAATGGATTTTAAAAATCCTCGACAATAATCTTTTCACTAAGGAGGTTATAAAAATGTAAAAATTGGATCAAAGAAGGGACATTTTTGGAAATTTATTGAACAAATTACTATTATGTATTGTTTCTGTATTAATGTTTTAGGCAAAGAATGTTTACGCAAGTTCAAATTTTCGTAAACTGTTTTACAAAAGGATTAACGTAGTTGTTCTGGTAATGATTCTGTCAGGCATAACAGACACGAAACATCAGTTTGAAATTTTTATTCCATTGTATTTCCTTCAATTGTAGCCAACGGTAAATCTGTATATCCGAAATTAATAATTCTATATAGTTGACAGAGAATTGATCAATTTTCTAAAGTTTGTTTTGTTCTCAGTCATTAGTCAAACGTAATTGTATTATTTAGTTAAAATATTTTTATTAATACTGCTATTTACTATTATTTACTATATTTCGAACGTCTATAACGAAAATAATTCATCACTGAACTCAATTCCTCTACCTCATATACCCTGAATAATCAATCCTTTCTGCAACGAAATCTCACATGCCAAAACATTATTCCACAATATTCTTCTAAATATAGTGACCTATTATTAATTTCCCTCGCGTATTTTCCAGTACAGAACTATTCCCAACACTACAGCCTTCCACCAAACAGCAGGAAAAAATGGCCGACACCGAAGCAGCCTTTTTATATCAACAAAATTCCCACTTGTCGTTTCCGTGACACAAGAACAATACACACAGGACATTATGGATCAGTATATTTCAACGTATCAGAAAGATTACGCATGGCCGTCCAGGAAGATGCAGCACACGTCGCCAGAGTTGCGCGATGGCGGCTCCTGTCGCTGCAAACCGCGGCCCCCTGAGCTGAAAGTCACCAAAGTATGCGGGGACCAGATGGAGTGGAGCCGCCAGGGTCCCATGGGACGATTACTCGACCCGAAATTGTACCCAGCAAAAACTGGCCCCCACCCCGAATCGGAAGCGACGAAGTTTGACCAACCGGACACCTATCTGAAAAAGGTGAATCAACCCAGGGTAAAACTGTGTTTCGTATTTCTCACATGGTTGGATGAACGTTTCAGTTGGAGGAGAAGCACCCAAATCTCTATGGAATTGTACAGAGTACGACCGAGGACGAGGTAATGATGCGTGTAGATCAGGATCGACTGAAAACGACCTATCAAGTGGACTATGGCGGGGAAAAAAGCTCACAAATGTGTACATGTAAGGCTACTCGTCGATTTCGATGGTTACGAGCACATTTTCCTCGCAACAAATATTTAAAAGTGCTGCATTCGAATTTTATAAAATATTAGGTGCACCAATGAGTAATCTACTATTTAGGTGTACTAATAAGTACTCTATTATTTAGGTGTACCATTAAGTAATCTATTATTTAAGTGTACCAATAAGTAATCTACTATTGTTTATAACTGTTGCAACACAACGCAGGTAGATGATGGTTGCAACGTTCGTCGCGAGTTAAAATCTACGTATCAATGGGTGAACCTTATAGTGTAACAAAGACGACGTTAATATTATTATTTCTGTAACATTCTTAATCTAACTATTTTGTCTGTACCTACAAACTAAAGTTATAGTCCTGAAAATTCCTTATATCACAAGATTTTATTTGCCTGTTATCAAAATTAATCACAGAAATAGAATAATTTAGGATACTTCCAAACGCTAAATTCTTTGTTAGAGAATATTAAATGTAACATATGTAAAAATATGTAAAACAAAGTTCATCCAAATTTTTAAATCATTTACAGCAGACGATAGCACACTAAAGAGATCACAGAAAGAAGAAGTCAGCCCGCGATTGGAGCATATAAAAAAACAACGCGAAGAGAAGAAACACAAAAGTAAGATGAAGAGGAAGGATGAGGATGAGCCTCCGGAAACACGGATACCAGCCTGGCGTTCCGAGTACCAAGACAATATTAGTAAATTAGGCGGTGCCATAATGAAACACAGGTTACATCAGAGAAAAACTGCAGCGCCATCTTGGGCGATGGCGGTTTAATTAGGAAACAATATTAAATTTGATTACCCCACTGTCTCAACTGCATTGAATAAAGAATATGGAGGAACCCCTTCATCCTAATTTGTTAATCTATAATTTCAGTTTATCATACTGCCTCTTAAAAAATGTTTAAAAAACAATATTTTAGTCAGATACAAGATCGTTACAAATATTTTGAATAAATCTTTAAAAAATTTAACAACTTTTTACAGTCCGTATACTTTTATTAACTTTCCCTGAATTATTATTGTACGAAAAATTACACATAGGGTACATTCATCTATGAATGAACACTTAAAGAGATTCTGTAACCATTAAAGTCGACTTTTAAATGATAATAATATTAACAGATATTTAGCACATGAAAATTAGATTTTTTAATATCTATACCTTTTTATAACGTATAGATTTCAATTTGAGAAATTGGAAAAATATAATTAATTAAATCAAAACAAATAATACAGATTTTACCAGTGAATGAACAATATTAATACAAAATGAACATTTCTAACCAATGCGCGAAAATTGTTTCAATATGAAACGAGGAATTGAAAAAAAATCAATATTTAATCATTTACTTATTTGAATAACTTAATTTACTCGTTTTTATATATAACGTTCATTCACTGGTACGTGTTCATTTACTGGTGCGTCCACCCTATACAGATTACAAAAAAAAATTATTTTCGAAACACAAGTAATTGTACAGTCTACTAAACCAATAGTAATATATTATAAAAAATGTTTTTCACAGAAGAAAAGAGAATGATAAATGTTTATTTTATAAAAATTCCTTTCTGATTATTGTCTTAATAATTCGAATGAATTTCTCCCATGAAAATACGTTTTGTGCCAAACATCAAAGACTTTGAAGTTGCCCAAGTATCTGTGCCTTGTCGATTACAGTACGACGGATAAACAAATTATGTGAACCGTAAGTGGACCGTGTCGTGTAAAGAAATTCTACGTAATAATGCCCATATCGCTGTGCGCATCTCGACGGCGTGTCTCAAGGGGTGAATCGAAATGACGACCTTACCTCCGAGCCGTATTCGTGGCAAAATGTCCGACGAGTAATTGCTTTTCTTAACCCGCAACAATTTCTTACCACATTCGCTGATATCGTAGTGATTTAAATCGACCACGATAAATAATGTTTAACAACTAGACGTTAATATTTACGATTTCGTAAATTATAGTTAACGTTAAAATGATGGCATAAGTACAGTAAGACTTCATTTGTCCCAACTAATTTTGTATTTTAATTTATTTACCGAAGGAAAAAGCTTGTGATTAAATTATGCATTTTTAAGGAACTTTCTATTATGTTTCCTGTTTGCGTGATGTTCCTTAAAGTAATTTTGAAACATATTTCTGCTGCTTCTACAGTAGGTGCTATGTATATCGAGAGTTCTGCATCTATTAGACATTTATTATTAAACTACGGAAGTTTATGCATATTTACAATTTTAACTACTTGTACTTAAATGGTACAGAACTTTAAAGCCTGAATACTTAAGAAGTATCAATCTTTATTAAAACCTTCATTTTAAAGAGTTTTGCAAGTTAGAATATGCTATACATACATAAACATTCAAAGTCTATTCATCAGGGGTACTAATTCTACATTATCTATCGTCTTGCTCAGAACATCTAACATAACTAAGTTTTTTAAAAATATAAAAAACAAAGTAACATTCGATCCACTTTATTGTTTCGAACATTACTTATTATTCTGTAATTTCAAATAATTTACATCCATTTCCACCATATCTTACAATTAATACAGGCAACTCCCATACAACACAGTGGTTAAGTTCCTAAGAATTTCCGTATTACGAGAAAAGTCTCCAAGACTTTAGAAAATTTAAAAACTGTTTACAACAATCATTTTGTGTATCAATAATTATTATACTGGTCAAATTAATACATTTGGTGTATGTACACGGAAGTGCATATCAGAAACTACCACGGTAGATAAAATCTTTGCTATTATAAAATCCCTTTACACAGAATAAATAAATTTCCCCGTGCCTCCAGTTTTTGCAAATTAATCTGCAAAAGTACACAAATTTTCATAAGTATCTACGGTTTACCTATATTCCTCGTGACATTAACCGTCTGTTGGGACCAAGATGGCCGCCGAAGCTGACGGAGAACCGGCGAAAAACGTCGTCGAACACCACCACTCTCGTGGGGAACCATTGGCCGAGGGACACGCATCCTCCGTACGCCCCATCGAGGGCTTATCGACAAGGCGGTGGCAGCGAGTATGAGATCAAATATGTGAATGCGAGGACTTCCGACGAATCTGTCGGCGTGCCTGAGGACACCTACGTTAATAAGAGTCACGTATGCTTAATACATGTTTATTTTAACGTTTATACCAGTGTGACCACCACTAGTAGGTATTTTCGTACTACATCTAGTACTTTTTTTTTAATTTTTAATGTTCTAGTACGTTCACCAACCAATCTAGTACTTTCTTCCTTCCAAATAATAATAATAGTAACAACAATAACATGAGACATTAGTTTAATATTTTTCTCTTCTTCCATCCTCCCCCAAATGCCACATTAACACTTTGACTGCCACGTCACCCAAATATGGGTGACACGTACATTGAAAAGTGTCTGGATTATTTAAACACTGTTATAAAATGTTTGCATGAAATTAATATCACAGTATAATTTAAAACAAGACCTACAGCCTCTATTAACTAAACTCAAATATTTTCGACAATTTATGACTTAAAAACGAAATAAAGTGTGTCTGGCTACGTACGGCCTTTTTCACTGTGGCAGTCAACGTGTTAAATGAAAAAAAGTATGATTTCTTTTTTTTTCCTCTTTAACCCCTTTAACTCCCAGTGTTGCACCGGTCTAACACTCATTTTAAAGGGCGTCGAATTCTGTCACCAGTTAATATCTAACTTTTACATAGTTCAATCTAACGTTAATATAGATCACCACGCCTTCGGTTGAGAAATTCAAGTATTCCCTTCAAAGGTAAATAAAAAAACGAAGGAAAAATGAAACAAATAAATCTGTGTAATATCGATATTTTCGACTTCAACGTAACATGAAGCAACATATAATACCAGTCTCATAATTTTCAAATAACAATTTAAGATTCTGGGCTTTAAAGGGTTAAAGTTACATCCCTTACAATTTCGAAATCTGACGCAACACAATAAACAGACTGTAACTTCTTTATTCTTTGACATTCGACTTTCAAATTTCGAAAGCATATTGTTGAAACGTTGTACCTTTTATTCATATAAAAAAAAGTTTTTGATTTTTTGAACCTGTTACACGATAAATCCTCCCTTAATGCCTGCCACAGCGAATCTACGTAAACTGAAAGCTTCTTCCCCGTTGCTACAGAATCACCCAGACGAATCAGTGCCCGTGAACATCGTCCGGAGGCATGAGAACACGGGGTTACGCGATAACTACCAACGTTTCAACGACTACGCCGACATGTACGCGCCCGAAACGTTGCAGAAGTTGCGCAGGCTGAAGGAGCTGCAGATGAAACGGGACATAAACGAGAGATACTACTCGCAGGAGATCAAACGACTGATCGGCGAGTATTATTTCGCCAAGAGGATGCCCTCCCCTCTATTGAGGCCCCAAGGAAAAATGCAGAGCGCCAGCTTCCAGCATCATCCTGGACATCGAGCAAGAAATGTACTGAAACTATTGGGAAATGGCAGACGTAACGGAAACGAATATTTGAAACCTTTTGTGCTCGAGATCGTGTATCCTTGACATACTTAGCAACTAAAAATTAGTTAATTATAACCGTATTAAATTTTAGGAAAAACATAGAAAAAGAAAATGGGAATTAATCGACGGGAATTAATTCGTTTGCTACTGTAACATCAGTCGAGTACGGAAATATAGGATGATAGATTCTTTATTTTTCATATTTTCGAATAAAGGAAATTTTCAGGTACGGTAAACCAACTACTGAATGATCGAATTGTTGAATTTATAGATGTTTGAAAGTAACACTTAAATGTATTTATTTATAACAACGAAACAGCTGTTGAAATTGCTAGTACATTTATTTTTCTTGAAATTTTTATAAAAACAATTACTTATTCTTATCGTGATTTAAAAAAGAATCATTTGTAAAGTGCAAAACGTGTACAAGTCCAGTAATGACTACTACATTTCTGAAATATTCTAAATAACGTTGGCTGGCAGACTCGCGTTCCGATTGGTCGGGGGATTTCGTTAATATCTCGTTAACAATGCCTCGGATAACATTTTGGCTAAGGAAAAACTTGTTTCAAATCACCTCACGACTCTCCCGTTTCCGGGTTCTCCAACATTTTTCTTACACCCTGTATACGATATCAAAAATCCCGGTAATAAAACGGCCAATTTATGTGCAACTACTGAAATAATCACGTTTCAGAATATCGAACCGTGCGGCACCATGACGACAATCACGCGGCTGGATTGCGGGTGTATTCAAGAGACATCAAGGCCGATTTTCACGACGGCAAGGGGTCGCGTTCAACGGAGGAATTGCAGCCAATCACAAGACGAGGTGCTTTTGAAATTGACGTCCTCGAGCCCGCGGGAACACTTGTCCTTGACGATCGATCCGCGAAACGATCGTCAACAACGGGTACAATCGAAGAACCGGTGTACGTACGAGAAAATTACGCCGAACGGCGACGGTGGATTCGTGACGGAAACGGAGAACGGGAAACAGAGCGACGACGAGGAACAGAAAATTGAACGAGTCAGGAAAAATGGGACGCCTAATCGAAAGTTCAGCGACACCTCAGCGACCACTATTCATTGATGTTTTAATTTTTTGATTCTATATTTTGTACTTTATCGGTAGCAATAAATACATCTTGTATCTTGTATCATCGATTTTTTTTAGAGATTGTCGACGTAAGACTGTTTTGTTAAAATTTTAGGGGACATTGAATTTTAGCCCTTGACGCTAGAACTAACTCGGATTAATGAGCCTTTAGCCGAACAGTAAAGGCAATTAGTCTTTGGAAAAATATGGACGAATAATTTGTATATCTGTTTATTTATGTTCACAATTATTTTTATGATATTTCGATTTCAAGGAATAACACGAAGATTTGATATTAGAAATACCAAGACAGTAAATTTTGTAATAGTGCATTATAAAATTTACTGCCATCGTGTTCCTAGTATCAAATCCTTGTGCTATCCCTTGAAATTAAAATATATTCTAAAGTAACAGTATTCTGGCGTAAAAAGCTTAATACTTTTTTGTAGGGAACGACGAACTGCATTCGTTAAAAAATATATGATTCTCTTTAAAAGAACAAACTCGACCTTCACATGTCCTCTAACGGTCTACCTACAAAACAACTACTGCCGTTAAATTATTTCTCTCGCGAAACCATTCAACAAATTATTTGAAACATTTTTTTTATATCAACAACGGTTTTGAAGAAATTCGAGGGGATCGATTTAAATGACTCACGCTGTATAGAACGTTAATCGTAAGTTCATTTCAACAAACGTGAAACTATCCAACATGTATCGAATCCATTCATAACCCTGAGGTCAAATTTTTTTACAAAGAACAGTGTTCTTTTATAAATGTCGAGTCGATGGATAGAGATAATTTTGTCGAATTTTGGAATCAACTACAGGATACTTCGAACATCCTTCTGATGTGGATATATGAGTTACTGGCAGTGACTTCATGCCTTGAAGATGAACGGCTTGACGCTGACGACCGATTCTGTCGTCACGTGTACCGGCTATCGTGTTTTGAAGAACGACGCAAAGAAACGCTATGCTGGTTTTTTTTTCGGAAAATGACGAAATTCGGTGATACACCATCCATCTTTGCCATGTGACGCTCAGTCGCTGTTTTCTCGCAACAAAATTCCCGGTGAGTCCATCTTTGAGCAATTCCGAAATTACCATCGCGTTCATTTTTGTAACATCTTCCGTGACGCTCAAAATTCAACATTTTAACGAGCACATTAAACATTAGGTTTAATGCTGGACAACAATTTTTGTGCATTGGCATGCAAACGTTCGAAAACAAGAGATTCTGAGAATGTTTAATAAAACTGTTGTTTCACTTTCCATTTATTAATCCGATTTCCCTTCTTCGTTATTGAAAATGACTTTATTAAAATTAAAACTTTATTAAATATTTTACCATACTCGATTTTAGAAGATAGTTTAGGTTGGGTCATAAACTATTATAAATGATTTTACAGTTAACATTAATTCATCCTATATCCACGATCTCTATTAAGCTTAATAATTGTTGCTGAATTTAAAAATGTTTATAATTATAAGGTTTTAATTACAACCCAGTCACAATCAATTATGAATAAATTCGTAAAATTCGCATTTCAGTTGTAATATCACGGGTAGACATTTAGTAAAATTTCAATTTTATGTTTTTAATGTAGAAAATAAATCGATAATATCGGTCGAATAATTCTACAATTTTCCGAACAGATTTCTAGAAATTCTAGTGTCACGTTCGAGCCGTAATCGAATTACCTGACCCGCGATGGCCGCTGCGTTCGAAAATTTCACCACTACCACTCATGATGCCTTCATCTGGCCTTATCCGGTGCCGTTGATAGCAAAACCGGCCCAACCACCGATGAACACAGGATTGCGCGTGTTCACTCCTAGAATCGATCCCGAAGATTGTCCGTGTGACGTTCACAGCTATGAGAAAAGCAAAAATAGGTAGATAAATCCCGTCAGAACACGAACATCCAAATTGAAAGTTTCCATTGCCCGATTCGAAGTTTCTGAATGGTTCTAATAGACCTCGGATTTGCCCCTTTGAACGAAGCAATTTCCGTCTGCAACATTTCTTTTTATCTCCATCCTGTATTTACATGTTTTTTTTTTACGCAAATCACCCTGTATAATTCACAATGGAATAAATAACGATGTATTTGATGAATACTTGTAGATACAAATATCTAGCTGATAAGGAACGACAGATCGTGGATCAATTGGTAAAGGTTAACCGGGAAATGACCAATCTGGCGACGGCCATGTTGGACAGTAATTGCGAGTCAATGGACGAGACGATGAAGAGCGTTTATAAAACGGATTACTCGAAAAGAGGTACGAAATAGCTGTTAACGAGGCAAGTACTTTGTGTGTACCTGTTTATTTATTATAATTAATCTGTTTAATTATTGAAATGATACACGTTTCGATGTATTCAGGTTTACCGATCCAGGTGTACAGGCAGCTAAAAGCCGCGGTCGATTCGCCATATTGTTCACCGATTAAAACGGAAACTTTGGAAATAAAACGAGGATACAGGGATCCAAATAGGTTTCGATACTCCGCCATTGAAAGACCCCACATACAACCAGCTAAAACTATTAATCTTTTCGAAGGTGACGAATTTTTTTTTTCACGATAAGTTAATTATATGTATATCATACTTTGGATCTAGAAATACTTCCAGAATATAAAATATGTATATAATTTAAAGAAACATTGATATTGAAATGGTAGGAGTCATTATGTGACTCGTAAATTCACACTTCATCGAGCAATTTATGAGAACAGAATGTGAAAAGTTGGAAATAGACTGATGTTAGTTTATTACATCTTGTGACATTAAGCTTCAAAATATTTTCTTATGCATCATTCAGGCAAACAGTACAGAATTTCATTGTCAGATTTCAACTGTGTGTAAATGGTTATTCAGTTCCAGAAACTTTCTCTTTGTGGGAGGAACCTTTTACCAGTCGCTCGGAATACACGGTGACCATTAGTAAGATGGGTCTTAGTAACATGAAGAATCGTCAGCAATATCTTGAACCAATACCTTCTTCGAGAAGACGATTCGGCGATTGCAAACTGTGAGAACTCTAGCCCGTTAAATAAAGATGACTACGTAAAAATATAACTCAAATCTTTAGATACTGAATACTTAAGCAATTTTCCGTCTTCATATTCTATTTTGTAAAAATTGCTATAAATGTTTATAATCCATAATCTAATTACCAGCCGTCCCGACGAAAAGTCACTTTCCAATCGTAATTAAATTCCGCGCCAAAAATCAAATCGCGACAACTCTGTTTCACCGGCATTTGTTTTACCCAACGTAAAACATTCGTTCTTCGTTTCCGGTTTTCAAAGAGAATCGATCCACGGCGTTTACATTTAATTAGCGCGTATCTCTGAAAGTGATGTAGAAAGTGAAATTTATTGTAAATAGTCAATTTGCACTTTTCAATTTTTTGTATCCCATTTATGTAAATAGTAATTAAAAAAGTCGTTTTTTGTTTTATTGTACCTGAAATTTTATTGAATAAGAAGAGCCTACCGGAAAATAGTTGACGCCGAATGTTAACGTATCATTAACTATTAACGATGCTGTGGGAGCAATTTCAGATTCGGAACGAGCAAATTGGGAGCAATATTTTGAGATATAAATCGGTAAGATACGTTTACATTCGGCGCCAACTATTTTCCGGGGAAGAGCCTCCCGTCTCGAAGATCGTAGTCGATAAAGAAGAAATTATTCTTATCCCGTCGGAATACGCCACACGTCGAGTACGTAGACGCCATCTTTCGTTTATTGACTCGATAACCAAGTAAATTTTAAGTAGAAAAATTACAGAAAAGGGAGTTACGCTAATAGGATTATTAATAAATTTTCAACAATGCCACATTCTTGCAGATTGTTGCCCACCGAATACAGCCGGAATTATTTCAAAAGAAGACCAGTACCCGCGGAAATGTGAACAATAATTTTTTGTTAAATTTTATTTTCATGATTCATTATAAAATTTAAATCACACTTGCTGCAGAATCCTACCGAGAGATCGTTTCTCTGAGCGCATAGAAGATGGAGAGATCGATCCTCGTGTGGCATCGATCCCATCGAAACTCGACGGGGCCGCTGAACAATTAATCCACAAACATATTCTCGATCACCAACGAACCGTTTATCAAGTCAGCTACAAGAATCACTGTGAGCCGCGATCTTCGAAAAATCTGCTATACTTTATACATACACGAAATCGAAAGTCGTGAAAATAAATCTACGTTCAGTCACGATTTATTTGTGATTACAGGGGTTCGTAAGAAACGATCTCGAGAGGAACAGTCGGATGAAGAAACAGAGGTCAAGGAAAAGGATATCCAAAACGAATTATTAGCGTACATTCGTGAACTATATTTCAATCCTCATAACGAAAAAGTCCTCGCTCCGCCCGTTACGGCGAAACGAAGTAAGATTCATCGCGAGGAACTAAATATAATATATATTATGAGTAGACTCTGAATTTTATGCGTTTATAGCAACGTGGAATATACAAGACCCCAAAGTATAGATTTTAAGCATATTTTGGTATCTAGATTTTAATAGAAGCAATAATTAAAAAAATTAGTTTTCTATTTTTAAAAGTTTGAATTTAGGTACACATCCGTAATTTATTTACGAGAAATGTCTATCAGATATAAACAAAAAGAATGATTAAATATGTATACATTACTCTTTTTGCAATTTATTGTTTGAACAAGAAACTGGATGGCTTTGAAATCTGCTTTTCATCTTTCTGTACGAAAACAATATATTAACCCAAAAGGTGCGCCCTCTAAAGCATTTCAACTTAGCTTTAATAATATTGTTTTAATATCATGAATATTTTTGAAAGTATTGAATTTTCATGGACTATGTACCTAATCGTATACGATTCTGTCATCTACAAAAATCTTGAATTACTAATATTTTCCTTAATTATATCTAGTGCTTGGATATATAAGACCGAAACTATTGCATGCAACCCATTCTACGTACCAAGACACGTTTGGCCGTACAGGTGCGAGAGTTATGCTGGAAAATAACGATCAGATGACATTGGGAAAAGTCGAAACGACGGATACTGTGAAAAAGAACGATCCATGCGTCGAATTTAATACTAACAGCAACAGGAACTGAATAATTAGAAATGATCAACAACGGCGAGGAACGTTCAACAAATTTGACGCATACATTTCACGTATTACAACATTTTTAATTATTACAAGTTTGTTAATTTATAAAATTTTAAGTGAATTAAAAATTTATAGAAGTGATGATACGAATATAAAGACTTGGTTTTGCTACATATACTCTATACATTAGAAATCATTCTACATGTTTCCCCTCCAGTTAATGTGCAAGTGCTTCCCACTTACATATAGTTATATATTAGAAAGAGATGTCAACTCCTCCGAAAACTATCTACCTCTTTCTAAAGTTGGGACGTCCGTTTCAGGTTGACGCGCAGTCTATACTTCTATGTCTATGGATAGAACATTCTTCAAAAATATTCGATTTTACATTCATTCTTATAACTAGAGAAATTAATTTCAAATTCGCAGCCATTAACTCGGAAGGAAGTATTACAGAAATATTTCGTCGTTAGTTTGACAGATGGCGTGCCTGTATTGCAAAAAATCCGAACAATTAAACTTTTAAATTTAATTGGAAAAGATTATCTGTATCGAAATAGATAAAATAAATTCATGAACTAAAATATCGTTCTATATTTTACGAAAACAAAATGTTTAATTGATAATAGCTATCCACGTTCATCAAATCGTTTAGTGTCAGTTAATCGAAAAAGCCGTTCAAAATTTGAAATTGTATCCCCACGATTAATTAGAAACTGCATATTTTGTCCAAATCCAAAGTAATCACACATGCATTTTAGATATCTTCGTGACGTCAAAAGGAATTACTTTACTTATCTGTCTTCGGTATTTTAAGCATGCCTCCGATGCCTCCATTCCGTGCAGAAACTGGCAGATACGGACTTTCCCTATAACACGACGATACTGCACGATACTGCACGATACTGTAAGGTCAACTTATGTATTGCGTAGTGAAGTTGACGATTAAAAAATGTCACGGAATATTATAATACATTTAATAATAAGTGCTATCGGCGTTATTGTAGGTGTATCGGCATGCATTGTTTTGTTCGCTGTTTACAACAATCATGATGTTGGATTTTGGTCGATCTTGTCAGGTTAGCAATCCTTATAGAACGATAATCATTTCAATTTACCGACTATGCGAATTTTATATGCAATCGCTGATAACATAGCTTGTAATAAAAACCGCTAATTCTTCTGGCTAACATTATATATGGGAAAATTAAAAACTTTTATAGGAAGGAAGCATTATTTACTTGTCCATTGTACAAATCATTTTTGTTTATATTACAATCAACAATCACTATTTCTTGTTGGTATTTGTTATAATACTGATTTGTTACCTTCAAATATTGGTCACATATGATAAATAATACTTTGTTTTTTGTAAAGAACATTTCATTCTATGAACCCATATGCTTGTATATGTTGCTCAGCAATTTTAGCTGCAGTGTGTTTTCACTTGCACTGGGTCAGAGGAAGGGGAACTTTAGAAAGATGGCATACTAAAGTCACATTAAGAAATCTAAATATTATTGGTTTTGTGAGTGCTGTTGTCAGTATCACAGCGCTAATTTGGTACCTTTTTCTCACATGTTACTACCAGATTCGTAAGTATATTATTTAATTCTATAATATTCCAAAAAATATAATAGAAAATTAAAATACATATAGATTCTTTAAATTTCAGCCATTCATCCAATTTCAGAAAGCACTGCAATATCAGCTGTGTGGTCTATGATTTGTGGTAAATGGGGTATTTCATTAACATACCATACTTACAAATATGAATTAATTATTCAGGAAGATTCTGCACCAATAATGACAGAAAGTAATGCTTAAGATTTTTTATATTAACAAAGACAAACTGTTTTTTATAGACTGAATTTGATAAACGTTATTATAAAATAAAAGTAGAATCTCATATTAGTAAAAATATATTTCCATAAAAATATAACTCAAAATCTGTTACATGTATATACATTGTTCCTTATCCCAGCCCTTTATACAATGAATGAACTCCTTTTTTACTTTTATGTACTACATAATACGTTTAAAAAAAAAAAAAAAAGTTTCTTTAAAATTCATGAAAAATAGATCAAAATAATATAATTTAAATATCACAGTGATATTGTTATTAAATGATACGTAATATGTACGTTAACGTATAGAATACTTTATGACCCATATAAAAATGCTATATAGCTATCAACATATCATTTTTTCTTTAATTGAAAGATTTTGCTTGTGCACATATGCATATCATGTGTGTAAAAATGTAATACAATGTACAATTTAGTCTTAACATGGTGTTAACTTATACAATGGATGAATTATTGTATAAAGACCTACGAGTGAAGATATAATACCAAATATACCTATAGTTCCAGGAGTAAATTTTGTGAACCCCAATGCTGTCAATGGAATAAACAAATCACATCCGTTTTTAATTGTATCCATTACAACTTCTTTATGGTTTTTCAATTGAAGTAACACTTTATATTGTTTCCACGCATTAAACGAAACATTTGATGTTTTCAATAATGCATTCTTTCCTTCGTTCTCCAAAATTTTAATAATCTCATAAACGTCTCTTATAAGATTTATAATAATATTTATTAACCAATACTTATTAGCCGTTTTGCTCCACTTCTCTATGTTCACTTTGTGCAATCCCACACGACCAATCCAAATTATATGGTCTGTTAATAGAAATAAAGCATTAGCAATTTTTGATGCTGTCAAAAGGACCCTGATAGCGCCATCTGGATACTTCATCATTTTTACGGCTGCATATAAACTATCCAAACATCGCCCTAGGCGTAATACTAAAATAAAATTGAAGTAAATCATTAGTAACTGTGGTGATAGCTCTACAGTCTTCTTTAATATCAATGAGTGAATACATTTTCTAAATGAACTAAAGGTATACTCCAAACTTCTTAAAATTTCTGCAGAATGTTGTGTAGTACGGACATTTTGAGCATAGTACCAATAAGCACGACTTCCATATTGAAGTAACCTGTAGAATGCATATTTGAAAAGTTTCTTGCTTTAGTATTTGTATCAAGACCCGTCATTGTTATTAAATTATAATTTTATGAAAAAGGACATAATTTTGACTATTCTTTAACTGTTCGAAAAAGTTATAAATGCCGTGCATAAAGTATAAAACCGCATATTTATAACAGCAAAAATTAACTAGCAAGTTATATAGGTGCCTAATAAAAAACACTCAAAAATGTTCAAGGAGGTATAGTTATATAAATTACATACCTTATAAGTCTGTCTCTGCCTGCTGTCTGTTCGTTTAACTTTATTATTTTATCCATGATTCTCTTATGGAATATATTACGAATAATTCTTGTAAAATAGAAATTGAAAATTCTTCGAGTTAATACTCCGTCAATAGATAGTTTGTTTAAAATTATACATTTATAATCAACATAAATAATACCGAACAATAACAGACGGACTTAACCCAACTGAAAAACCGTATAAAATAAGTGCTTGCCACTTATGATTATTAAAAAGACTGTATTTACAACTACTCATGGCATAGTCACAAATTTCTTGTCATTCTACTATCTTGAGTATGGACTGGTGTGGACCAGGACAACAGTTCGGTCAAGGTGCGTGTATGATAAATGATAAAACTCAGTGTGTGCTATCAGCGCCATCTGATATACGTCACGGAATATATTTACAGTATTTGACTTAACCAGAAAAAATGAAGTAACTGAATAATTCAACGATTTTTTTGTTTTGCTGCTTCTTTATCTAACGGTTCTTGTATTTTAATGACGATCATAAATTGGTCTTGTAAATTATGCCCGCCCTGTGAAATTTATACACCTATAGCAAATGTAACTGAAAAAAAACAATGAAATATTAACTTGAATAAAGTTTACTGTATAAAAATGTCATTTTGCATAAAACTTCCTCAGTCCAATTATATTGTATTCGAATTTTTTCTGAGACTGATACATAAAATGTATCAAATCGGTTTTATTCATCATTAATTGTGTCTATACACATATTCAGGGTAGGAAATTATCCAGATAACACATTAAAAATTCTAAATAACATAGACATTATAAATATACTTAACATTTTATAATGTGTTTTGCAATACACATTACATGTAATAAAAATACATTAACGACTATTGAAACAACTTAAAATACTAAGAAAATTACCACAAACATCTTATTACTTGAGTATTATTTCGTTAACTTAAATAAATATTGGTAAAACACTATTAGCTAGTAATAAATAAGCACTTTATTACTAGTGACAAATAAAGAAACTATGTTATGATAAACAAAGAAACACGTTATAAATTAACGTTAATATTGACGTTATATAAGAACATTAAAAATGAGTTAAAATATCACATACTTTACACAATGACAAAAGGAAGAAAAGGCATAATTCATTTTTATGATATTTATGCTTCTTAAGAGCAGAAAGTCTATTTTTCCCTAGCTCTGAATGAGTATATAAAGTGTGCCTTTGTCTCTGATAAAAAGTTTTATAAAGAATACAGAGAAAGAATGATTGTACATACAAAATGAAGATTATGATTTTTTAGCATGAAACAAATAATCACGCACAAATGTTATAGCTGACATTGCATGTCCTTTATGTCTGAATCCTGGCAGAAGTAACAATGTGTTCACTGGAACATTTACACAGAGTAAAATTAACATAAAAATTTATACGCTGTAAAAGAAATGTATTGTATAATTAAGCAAACTTCTGAATAATTACCTGCAATGTAAAATAGAAGTAAGTTATTGATTGTACTGCCAATCCACATACAAATAACAAGACAAGTTATTATTCCTGCACAGTACTAGAACACAAAAATATACAGATTAAAGTAAGCTGTTTGTATGTATATTACAGATAATGTATCATTATTTCAGTACTACATATGTGACTTATCAGCTTACAATATTAGGACGATCATTTCTTATTTGTATCATTGATCCCCAAAGACTTTGTAACTGTAAGATTGTTGCAGACAGATTTTGACAAATCTCATTCAACTTTTTCTCCTTTTGGCCTGTCCAACCATTAGCAGTGCACAAAAGAGATGTCACTGGTGGTACAAGATAGTCAATCAAAGCCCACACAAGAAGGAATACAGATATTATTGTAAGAAAGGCAGGTTCCAACACCCACATTAAACTATAAAAAAAGAGAATTTAATGAATTAGAAAGCATTGAAAGACAATAATGAAATATTAAAAGAGTTCATGTTATAAATACATTAATAAATGTCACTATAAAAACTACAGTGACTACAAAAGATATATGCATAGAATTACTTTCTTAAATAATTCTTTAAATTCTTAGATTGTATTATATAAATTTCTATGATTCTGATAAGCCCTTGAATGGCTTTGAATTTTCACATAACAGATTTCTCACCGCTATATATCTTTTGTCTTTGTCAAGGTATTCATTAAAGCAATAGTGAGAGTCAAAATACTTTTTGTAATTCACTGTATATAAAAAGTGAACAAATAGTCATTATTTGTCAGGTTCAAATAATTCCTAAAGAAAAATAAAGAAATGTTTAATGAAGTATAGTTTCATTACAAGTAACAGTTTCACTTACAAGAATATTGTGCTTGTTATTCCAAGTATAAGCCCAGGGTACCAAGATCGTTCCCATAATAGAATGGAATTCAATGGAAGTATTACTTCACGCCAGCATTCCATTTGACGTTTTAATTGTTTCATGTGTTTCTCCTACAATAAATTAATATTGTGAGTGAGCAAAAATGAGTGTCACTGTCATTGATTTTTCTGTTTCAGTGAGATTGCATGTTTAGTGTTCAGGACAATGTCCGGTTAACAATTAAACATTACGTTAATTCTCTTCTCTGTAAATAAAATATAAGTAACATGATTAAAATCTTACTTTTTCTACCGCCGCAGTGTCGGTCATCCTGTCTGATGTTTAACGGAGTATTTAAATTCGCTCCGGGCGAAGATACGGCGTATTACGACGCAACTGTGTGATCAAGTGACAATTATTAGAGGTCAGAACCGGGGTTTGCTCGCATTATCTAAGCTTATGCTTCCTCAGATACGATCATTTTTCGATTCTTTAATTCGATTATTATTACGTCTCCTCGGAAAAAGTCCAGGACGCCGGATATCTTTTCGCTTGAAAACACACGGAACGGACGAAGAATCGACTTCTGCCTTCGAGATTGTTGGTAACTCGCACGCGATTGGCTGTCAGTTCAAAATGTTGGTTATTGCAGGCGATGCTGTGCTGATGTTGTGACGTTAAAGATTTTCTAACAGTATACGTTAAACAATCGCGTTCCAGGCGCGTTTAGTTGATATCTTCCTCAAAATTCGTTGAATATGGCTGCTGTAAGTTCTGTGAGTATTCAACGACGCATATTATTTTGTAACTGGGAACATTAACGGCGGTGCTTCTTGTTTATCTTCTTGTCGGGAGAACGGATATTTCCATCGAATATCGCCCCGCCTGTGTGTTCAACTGTGTAATTATGGTTTACATTTCAGAAATCAAATGTCGAAAATTTATCACCACAAATTATCCGGCGGGTGGCCAAGGAAATGAGTGAATTGGCTGCACAATCACCCGAGGGTATTCGTGTTATTTTGAACGAGGAGGATGTTACGGACATTCAAGCAATTATTGAAGGACCCTGTAAGATTAAAGCCCTCGTAATTGCTGTTCTAGTAAAATCTAGATCGTATTATATGTATTATTTCAACAATTCTACAATTATCGAATCACATAACCTATTCAGATGTCAGTTATACATGTATACGGGGTGGCTCACTAACTCTATTCACCCAAAGTATGTATCTGTGATTTTACATAACAAGAAAAATTGAAGTTACAAGATTTCATGGGGCAGATAAAGTGCCAAAATCAAAAGGCACTATAAATATAATTAATTTTGTTGTCCAAAATACCAGAGGTGTTTCGAATGGAAGAGTTAATAGACCATCCTGTATGAATATGTATGTATACTTGTAGGTTTGTTTTCATACGAACTATGTGAACAGATGTTCACATAATATATCAGATATTGCTTATATACAATATTTCTAAATTTAATTTGTAAAATGTAGCTTTTAAAAATCACATACACCAATCGAGGAACCATTATTAAGACTTTAATGAAAAGAAATATGGAACTAATGATTTTTTAACAAATTCTAGGTTTTATATATGATTTTTTCTTTGGCGTATTTTATATATTTTATGCGTATTGTAGTATTCATTGATTAAAATATGATTTCTTTATAATACTAGCTGGGACACCATATGCGGGTGGTTTCTTCAGAGTAAAGTTAGCTCTTGGTAAAGATTTTCCCCAAGGACCACCGAAGGCATTTTTCCTTACAAAGATTTTTCACCCAAATGTTGCGAAAAATGGTGAAATATGTGTTAATACGTTAAAAAAAGATTGGAAATCGGATCTCGGAATTAAACATATATTATTGGTAAATTCCTAATAAGCAAATAAATGTTTCGTTGCTTTCTATTAATATTTTCGTGCAGTAATGTTAAATTAATGAAGTCAGATACTAACATTCAAAATATAAACTTCAACTTTCAGACCATAAAGTGTCTCTTAATAGTGCCAAATGCAGAATCTGCTTTAAATGAAGAAGCAGGTAAATTACTTTTAGAAAGGTACGATGATTACTCCGAGCGAGCAAAAATGATGACAGAGATACATGCACAGGTGAAGTAATATTTAAAACATTAAATCAGTTCACACACGTACCCAGTAATAAAAAATGTGTGATGAACTTATGCTTCAGGGAGGTGGAAAAGGCAGCAAAGCAGGTCTGGAAAGTTGTGCTTCCTCTGAAGTCGGAGGACCACTCCCGAAAAAGCATGCAGGAGATAAAAAACTATCAGCGGAAAAGAAAAAAATGTTAAAAGATAAGAAAAGGACACTGAAAAGATTATAAGAGAGATCAACGTCATTCGTCTATCTTTTATAATTTAAAACACTGGTGTGGTAATGTTGCCTCATATTGTACACAATTATTGCATAGTAAAAGTTTATTATCTAAACTCGACTGATCTTATTATTAAGTATTTAGAAAATTAATAATTCCAGAAGCATTGAAGAATGACTTCCTAAGATGCAAACAAGTACAACTCTGTAGTGATCTACTTTACAATCAGGAGTGGAAAGTAATTTAGTCCACTCTGGTATCTATTAGCAAATATTTTTACATATGTACAAAATACCTCGTGTGATTATTTAAATAAATAAAGAATGTTCTTCGAGTAAACGTTTTGCTTTATAAACCTCAGTCTCACAAGCGGTGATTTAAGTAGGAAAGTCGAAATGACGATTAAGCATTTTAAAACAAAGCAGCATTTACGAACGAAATCTACAGTTAACAAAACAAAGGACAAAAGTAATCAAAATCCGAATCTTCGATTAGGTGGGAAATAAAAGTTATTTCATTCTCAAGATCAATGTTATTTATTAGGTAATGACTCGTCAGTTCGTTTGCTTCAGTCTTGCACCACTGCATTGCCATTCATACGCTGCATGATCAAAAGCGTATACATTATCTTACAAGCCCATTACTGCACAGTAAAATATTTCATTAGTTGTTGACTAGATAACAGTATGTCACAGCCTTATTCCACTATGAGCTATTACTACACATAGTGGTAAATTTCATGGTAAGAAAACAATTCAGTAAACATAATTCACAAAGGTATGTTACTATTAATATAGTAATTGACATATAGTATATAACAGGATGTTCTACAAGGTGTAAACTAAATTTATAGATGGATGTCTTTAAATTTTTCATTACTTCATGAATCATAAAGTAATTAGATTGAGGGCTAGAAGCACGTTCTGTACTTTGATAAACAACAACTTTTAAAGATGAATTTTACTGTATTTTTCATCTGATAATCACACACGCACGATAGTACATACAAATCCATACAGTCTTTACATCATAACGTTTTTATTATTCTTTCTTTTATGTTTGTTGCGGTACCATAAAAAAAAATCTACGAACTCCTATAAATCATCTTTCGTAAGAGCCTGTAAAATTTTGGTATGCCAATTTCCAGAGAAAACGTCAAAAATAAAAAAGACCCATTTAAAAGAAATTTGTTATAACATTTTGCTAATGATATACAGTTATACTTAATTTTATGTATTCTCATGAAAATTACGGAAACACATTGTATCGTGTTAAGTCAGATGAGAACAAAATCTTAAAGAGTGTGAAAGGTTTTGTGACGGTGTTACTTTACTTCCTTTACATAAGCTTCCAATTCGGCATCTAGTTCTTCAGCGGTGGGGGTTTTTGTTGCTTGTCGACTGCCTCCTCTGCCACCACGCCGACCGGTTCCACGTCCTTTGAATAAGAAGATTACAGCCCGTCAAGGTTTTCCGTTTCTTAAATACGTATTCATCTATTTCGACATGATTAAATTACATACCTCTAATGGATCCTGCTCCACGATTACCCCTAAAGCGGGTCTGAGGTCTCTGTGTATAACTACTGCCGGTAAGTCTCGGGCCTCCGCGGATAGATGTGACTGGTATTTCAGAGGTAGCAACTTGTATGTTCATTTCACGACCTGCCAATGTATATCACACATTGCAATAATAGATGCGAATAGTGGTGCGTAAATCATAATTCACTAGAACTTCTTTGAAATTGGTTTTTCTTTTAATGTCATCCCATGTCAGAGTGTTTATGGAAGAATAAAAGAAAAAATGCTCAAACTGTATGTCGTTAGGTATAAACTTGAGACCAGATTAATTAGTGATACTGAAACCCTAAATATAGGCGGAATTTTATAATTAAAAAGAGACATCCAAAGGAAAGACCGTAGCACAAATATAACTTCAACTACACACCATCCAAAGGTACACCGTTGTATTGTTTCATTGCTTTAATAGCATCTGCTCTTCTTTCAAATATAACATCTGCAGATCCTAAAGATCGACCTGACCTATCATAATGTACTGCTGCTGATTTCAAAGGCCCAAATTCACTAAATAATTCCTGAAAACACAGACAAACATCGAATTATTATAAATTTTTATGTTTATTCTGCTTCAATAAAAGGGATAATACTAATTTGTTTTTAACGGTATACATGTGATATTACACTATTGCGATAAACTATAGTGTTTGTAATATTGAACTTATATTTAATATTTGAATTTGAATGAATGATACAATAATAATTTGATATTAATGAATGATACAATATTATGTGTACATAAAAATATCAAAAGTGGTAAATAATAGTACCTGAATGTCTGAATCTGATACTCCAAAGTCCAAATTAGATACAAGAAGCTTGGTTGTTCCTGCACTACCTATTGCACTTCGGCCAACCTTTTTTACCCCATCGAACATGTCATGTTTCCATGCACTGTTTACATCACCCTATGAATGAAAGTGGCATTCGTTGCTTATTGTCTCAAGAATAAAATGATTTATTACAATTAAATGTCAGTTAGAGATGTATTTTTATAAAGTGAAAACAAAATATATAACAAAGATAATAATTATATCATTCAAGCAGTCATTTAAAAACAATACCGAAGTATTTTCCTTTCACATAACAGGAGAAATTCAGAGTGTTTACATTACTGGTCCACTAACATCGACCAAACGTATAAAAAACGATACACCCAGTCGTCCTTAAAATCCACCGTCTAATAAATGTGTTACAAAAACGCGGAATCACGGTAATTCTTAAGGATTGTCGAGGGTAAATAAAACGTTCCCGCCTAGAAATGTAAATAAAACGTATGAATGATACTCAGATCTCGCGAAATTGTTTTGCTTTGAAATACGATCGTTAATCCTACCCAAGTTCAAAGTATTTCATACATGAGCGTCTAAGGCGGAAGTAATGGGATACGAGGTTCTGATATAGAGTGCACGTGACACGGTATACACGATACGAATGCGAAAAAGTCGACGGAAAAAACAAACGAGCTCGATTTTCTTACCCTTGTGTACGGAAGAGAACTCCGTGTAATGCCACCACGATTGCGTCCCCGCATGACGCCACCACTAACTCTCTGAGGTCTGCGTGCTCCTCTACGAGGTGAGTTACCGGCACCTCTTCCGCGTCTGCCACCGCCGCCGCGCGGTCTAGTCCCTTTGTTTTGCTTGATAATGTCATCGAGGCTCATTTCTATCTTATCCACCATCTTCATTTGTGCTGGCTTTCGTAGAACGGCACTACCACGGGAAATTCAGTAAAACCAACCTCTTTCGTCTTCGTAATGATGGCGGCGAACGAAGACGAAACAAGCGCGCACAGAAACCTGGGTAGAAAGACCGTTGGTCATAAACCGATTCTATAGAGATGCAAATCGTATGCGGTAACGCCTTTCGAATTTGCCACCAGAGGTCTGCGAACAATAACAGCTTTTTACGATTGGCAAAAATATCAATAATAGAATATCCTCAATTGAGTATCATTGAAATAAAAATTTCTTTAAATAAAGTTTCGAATAAATTTTTATTTGAAAATTATTTAAATAAAGTCTGTATAAATCATATAAACCGAAATTATTAAGTTAAAATTTAGTACAATATTTAACAAGATACATGGCCAGATAATACGAGTCTCACAGAAGCTAAACTGATCAAATATTTATCTTTAAATATTGTTTTCCAAACATAAATCTTTCAGCCGGCGGACCGAGCTGTCCTTCTATGATGTTATTTAAATCTAACGATCAAAGCGCTCCCTATAGATCCATTATCGAAACAATTCGTTTTAACCGTTTATTTGAAATCGAAAAATGAGTGTAACGACTTTTGCAAGGATGTGTTTACGTCTATTCTTGATATGCATTACTTGTTATTCTTTGATTTATTGATGTTTGGTATTTAGCTCATCGGTCTTATAACGTAAAATCGGCAGTATATATTAAACATATATTTATTTTTCTTAAATGTACTGTGTATTTTATACTGTTATACTTTTTAGTTCCTTAAAATAAATGTAACAAACGTGTTAAGTAATGTTTAAATTAGTCATCTTTTGAATATCAAAAGTTTATTGACACAAGTGTATCAGTTTTCTTTTCTGTATAATATTATAATTCCTCATGTTCCACATCTGTGCCTTGCTCAATATCTTCATCATCTTCATCAGCAAAGTCTGTGTGGTTACAGAGCTTTGCAATATTTGTGCACATCTGGTGTTCGATATTATCTTCTTTACGAGTAAATAATGAAATTATAGCATCTTCATGTTCTCCCACTACACTTTCACACTGAAAAATGAAAAAACAAATAAGCTTCTCATTACATTTATCAATACAATGAACTCTGATTGGATAGAGGTACTCACATAAAATTTTAGACTTCTATTTAAATCACCATCTTGAATAATATCAACTTCAGCCATTTCACGATTCATAGTACCAGAGGGACCCATTAGATTTATGATTGTCAGTCGACCATTTGATTTATTGGTTGCTCTTACATAGTCTGACATTTTCTCACAAATAATGTCCAACACATCGGATATGTATACTTCAGATTGAACAAGGGGTATCTTCAATCAAAATATTATATCAACATATTAAAAGTCTTGTTTAGAGAAATATCTAAAATTAATCACTACCTTCTTCTGAATAGAATTTCCCTGTGCGTCTACTATGTAACTACCTATTTCAATTTCTCTTGAAGGATCAACTTTTGCTAATTCACCTTTAATTTCTTTTATGGTGGATCTGCAAACTATACATTATTCATATTAAGTTGTATTTGAATTAAAAGCAGTTAAAACCTTTCATTTATGTGAAGTTTCCTTACTCACCCAAGCATTTTAAATATTCATTACTCGCAACAGTGTATACATATAGAATAAAATATAGCACTATTAAACTCTTCATCTGTAAGAAAAATATATGTTAATGAACTATCACTAAAAAATGAAAAGTAAATACATTAAAAATATTAGATTTTAATGTATACTTACATTGTATTAAGTAAAAAAATAGCAACTATTCACTTGACTCACAAATCAACGGTATTGTAATCAAACGTCTACCTGCTAAACTCCTCTGAAAACGGGCACGTGTATGCATGCCTGATGAGCATATGTGTGTATGACATGTATGATCAGCAGTATGTATATGTATATTCTACAAACGTCACAATTGGAAACAATGTGCGGAACACGAATAAAAACTCAGCACGTGTGTCGAGGAAAGTACCAACATAAGACAGGAATATGTTCGGCGAAAAAAAAAAAATTTTCGGCTAACTTCACGGTCAAAGTTTGATCACTTAATTACAAAAGAACGCGTGACCACCAAATGTTCTAATTAGGCCATCAATGACCACCAAACGACCACCAATCGATTGGGTATAATGAAACGTTAAAAAGTTAAAGTTGTCCGATTAACTTCACAGAGGTCAACCAATAGGGTGTAGTATCACCGACGAGGTATAGGATAGACCTATCATCTTATGGGACTTCGTGTCTCATGTTCTGAAATACCGATAGTGTAAAAAGTCAGGGATTTTCTGCTGCCCTCTACGTTATGAGAACGGTGAATTTGTGAACTACGTTAAATCCATTCGAGCTCAACTAGTTTAACTTCTACAGTGTTGTCAAGTCTAAAATACAATGTTGTCAGATCATGAGTGTTCGGTACGTCGGAAAATCATCGAAGGGACCATGGTCGTGAACGGATTCTCTTCCGTCCGTTCACTGTAAAGTAGACGTATTAGAAAGGAGTCTTCGGTTCCAATCCCGACGGACCTATATTAGTTTTTCTTCGCGTACAAAAAAGTTATTGCGTTTAATATTGTTTTTATGTATATGTATATGTATTATTATGTACATTGGAGTAAATTATTTTATTATTCCATTGTTATTACAACAGTTTAACAGTGACAACGAACGCATGCATATTTTCAAATATCGGACTAATAGTATATTTTTATTCTATATTATTACATATAAGTGTAGTACACCACAAACATCGCATAAAAGATATTTCGTTATATTGACTTTTGTAATAATTGTGGATGTTGCAAGGAAATCAATATTATTGACATTATGGAACATATAACGAAATATCACTGTAACACTTTAAAAAGTTTTAAAGTTCCATTTATATCATTGTCCTGTGAAAATGTTCATACTTCCAGCAATATTCATATTCCAATTAAAGAATTTACAGAATAAGGAAAAGGAATCTAAAGTAATTTTCAGTAGTTCCATACATCTTTATCTCGAATACTTTTCTAAAACATTCAAAGTACTAGACATTTTTACACTTTGAATCTCATATCGATTTCTAAAATAATCCTAGTTCGACAGCCATTAGCTCGATATTGTCATCAGTTTAAAGTACTTTACCGATGATAATACCGATTGCCCAGGCCTCACCACGAGGAGGTTGCTGCGAGTGGAGGCCCAAGGCAGGTAGATGGAATCACAAGTTCTACATCTTCCCACCTTTCACAATAAACCTTATAAATAACTTAAATCTTAACTATGTAATACTATCGGTACTAAAATCCCTCGGTGGATGACTTCTTTCATGAGCCTAAACCTATAAAAAACTAAGTTCCCTCGTCGGTTGTCTTCGTTCTTCAGCTTAGAACTAATATTATCTTAATATTCTAATTAATACGAATTAATGCTATTATTGCTCCCACCAAATCATATTGTATTGAATTCATGCTTTATCGGTAACGTCGGGTATTGACACTAAAATGGTAACAGGGCTACGTAGCCCTATGAACGTGGGACAGAAAAAAGCATTGGATGATAGGTTCCTTCGGTGATTTTAGCCTGAATTAAACGAGGGCCTATGTATGACGTTATACCTAACCTGTATGCAACAACATTGTTTCAATTGCTCCTTGTTAATAGGTTGTTATTAAGATATGTGACCATTAAATATTATAAAACAACAAAGTTTTGCATTTTCATTTGCGAATATCTTATTAAATATAATAGTTGCGATGGGAGCAATTTTAAATTCCGAGGGAGCAAATTGGGAGCAATTTTTAAGATGAAAATTGTTAAGAAATACTAATATTCCGCGCCAACTATTTTTCTGTGTTGCCGCTCCATAAGAGAGGCATAAATAATTTTACTAATACTGGGGTTCTGCAGTATTGGGTCTATAGATTGAGCCCGTGAGCCGTCAGGAACAATTTAAGACTAATGATGTTCATTTTGAACGCCTAGATCCTAGATAATTACATACTGAGATATTGTAGGTTCCTACTATTATACCGAAATTGGCCACTTGATGCATACACACATTCGGGACAACGAATTCCCGAGCGTGAGCACTCTCATTTCCCCTCTGCATGTATGTATGTGTAAATAGAAATCTAGTAATAACAAGTGTTTTCTAGGGGAAAGAGACAATTTTAATCGCTATATTTTTAATATATTTAAACATTCATACTTTCTATTGTCTTGTATTCATTTTTTAAAAAACCAAAATATATAAATAATAAATAGTTTATCAAAAATATATGTTGTACAATCATATTTAATATTTATGAATGTTTAACACGCATTGCAATAATAATATTAGTCCAGAGGGAGTCACTTGACTAGTGAATACTTTAAAACTTTTAAGGTTATAGCGATTTTCTGCAAGGACAACATTCGTAGTTTTATCGTGATATAACAATATTTAAATAAGAAATCGTCCTTTCCTTCGGACGAGAGGTAGAGCCCTTAAATTAATTGTGTGAGCAGTGATAGCTCGCGGGTTAATTCTATGTCGATGATATGTCGGCTCCAAATAACGTTAAAACAATGCGGGCGCACAGATTGGCCTATCTGGCCGTCTGACAAATATGAATTTGTGGCATAATTTCGTAACTTTCATAATCGAACATGGTCAAAGAGAAACCAAATTCAATTCGTATTTACGATTCGGAAGGCTACAGGCGTAGGGCTGCATGTATATGCGTGAAAAACGATCTTGAGGATGAGGTAAGCCAGCAGATGGCAGCTGATATTTTTTCCTTTAAAATAACAGTATTTTTTACTTTGTTATTAATCGCTATTTTTCATTTTAATGTGCAAACCAAATATGAATAAACATTTTATGTGGCTTATAATGTATTAAAGGTACTTTTGGTTACATCAAGTAGAAGACCAGATAGTTGGATAGTGCCTGGTGGTGGCGTTGAACCAGAAGAGGAACCTGCAGTAACTGCATTAAGAGAAGTTAGGGAAGAGGCCGGTGTTTTAGGACAATTGGGCCGATGTCTTGGCATATTTGAGGTAATAAAATATATTGTACTTTGATCAGCATTACAATACTTTCTCCATAAGTGCTTGGTTAAGTTTATTCTACAAAAATTTCTATTTCATCCCCACTAATGGGAGGTATCCCACGGAATCAGTCAAATGAATAATGTGAGTAATATCAAGGGAGTTGAAAGCTGAAACTTTGGGAGTAAAAAAAAAATTAAAAGTCCTTGTTTTGCTAATACAACTAATGCAATGATAAAACTGTTTTATTCTTGATTCCTTGTTGTTAATGAAAATTTTATTAACTTATTGATGAGATTGTTTTGGTTAAAATGAGACTAAACATGATATAATTTGGATCATTTCTAATTTATCAGAAACAACAATGAAAGAATATATGTTATTAATTCTGTTAAATTAGAAATGATTTAAATTATATCGTGTTTGATCACAGTTTAATCAGAAAAATGTCACCAATATGATAATAAAAGTTTCATTAACAAAGAACCAAGAATGAAGAAATTTCATCGTTGCATTAGTGTTGTTTCACTGGAATCGTATGCATTGGAATCTATATTGGCAACCTTGACCCTTGATCCCTCTTTCTTTTTTCACTTAATGCCCTTTTCTGCGACCGTCACTGCTGCCACAAACAAAAACAGACTGCCAAGGATCAGTCCAAAATTTATGATGTGCGAAAATTATTAACTGGTTCCAGACCTGATGTTGGAATAGTAATGGAGAAAATATTGTAAAATGATAAAAATACAGTTAGTAACAGCGAGTAATGATAAACAATATAAATGGTAAGGATAATCTTCCTTTATAGAACGTGGAACATAAACATAGAACACAAGTGTGGGTTATGCGGGTAACAGAGGAACTACCAGAATGGGAAGATTCACGTGCTATTGGTCGAAAGCGAAAGTGGTTCACTATACCAGAGGCCTTACTTCAGCTTGCTCAGCACAAACCCGTCCAGCGTTCTTATATACACAGCCTCCACAACACTAATCCACGACATAATCCCAGTATCTCACCACCTCACCATTCACATACTACTGTAACATCCATTCAGTTAATGAATAATTCTAGTAACAATCCCCATCTTAATAAACACAGCTAATATTAAATACCATCCATTTGCGTGAACGATTGCCATCAAATGTTAAATATTTGTTGCTGCTCCTTTCCCTTTATGTGGCTATAGTAACCACAGCAGTTGTATTTTATATGTAAAAGAACACAGCTTGTATCTTGTCCCCTTTTTTTTCTTTTTTTTTCTGTTGTTAGTAGTACAATTGCTATGAATCTTGTTATTATAACTATTAGTACTAGTACTACTATTATACAATTACTACTACTATTACTATTCTCATTAATATTGCTACTATACTATTAATGCTATAATTATTACTACCAACATTGTTACTACTATTATCACAATTGCTATCATTGTCATTACTATTACCCCCATTCGATTCGTTTATATACATTAATTGATAAACTGATCCACAAAAGGAGCAGTTTTTCCAGCTCGAGTTTCATTTTTCTCATGATTTTACAAGGGAAGCAAATGCTTATACTAAATAAGTAAATAAGTACATAATTTTCATACGTTAAGTGGATGGTATTTCATGCAAAAAAAAAGATTCCAGAATTAGATTACCTCTCTCATGTTGTTTCCATATACTCAAAGAATGTTACAAATGTCATAATGAAACATATCTATACCTCATGAGTTTTTTTTCTTTTAAACACAGTTTTTGATGGTATGTGATACAGCTTTGTATTGGTTTCTGTAATCATTACAACTTTTTGCATACTACGAGTCGGTATGTAGTTTACAGACTGAATTGTTTAAAGAATCGCAATAGGGATTGTTTAGAATATACATTTGAAAAAAAAGCAAGAGTTTTCTCTTTATAAACCATGAAAATAATTAGTACGAAAATTATTTAATTGTAAAACGAAATATAGATACATGGTAGCACCATGGATTTTCTACGTTTTATTTCTTTTTTTGTAATTATGTATTTAAATTTTCTATGACTTCTCGAATGTTATCAGTCAAATATTATTGTAATTTCATTCTTATCATTGTTATTAACTTGTATTCTTTCAAATTGAAATGATTTGATTTCGCACAAAAGGTTGCCAATAAAGTACAATGAGAAAAATACTATCAGCACAAAACATTTTCGTATATAGAATTATTGAATAGAAATGCATACTTATGCAACTGTTTACTTTTGAGTGTGTACGTGCGTGCGTTGATCAGACATTGTGTGTCCACGTGCATCAGCTTCGTTTATTTAGAAGGTAACTTTCAAAACATTTTCTGCGATAACAATAAGACGTTCAATTTTATAGAGGTAATGTTTCTCATTTATACATCGTTGACAATGTATTTACACTTATACATCTTATAAAAAGATATTTTTATCAATATTAAACACTTGCGCAGTATAGAAAGTTAGGTTATGTATTGGAAAACTTTAATCATTTATATCTTTTGCTATTGAAACGTCACTTATGCTTCCATTATAGATGTACCTTTATTAAGATGACTATCTTTTATAAAGAAATTCCTGAGAACATGGAGCACGAACCAATGGATGGTATCACTATTGAGGATATGGATGAAAGTAGCAATGATAGCGATGAAGAAGATTCCATAGACAATGGAGATATCGAAGAAGAAGAAGAAGAAGAGGGTCAGGACAATAAACCCTCAGTGTATCTTCCTGGACAACCTTTAGAAAGTGGAGAGGAATTAGTTGTTGATAAAACAGCATACCAAATGTTACATCATGCACAATCTGGTGCACCTTGTCTTAGTTTTGATGTAATTTTGGATAATCTAGGTAGTAACAGAGAAGATTATCCTTTAACTATGTACCTTGTTGCTGGAACACAAGCTGCCAGGGCACATGTAAATAATCTTCTTGTTATGAAAATGAAAAATCTTCATGCTGCTAATGAAGATTCTGAAGACGAATCTGATGATAATGAATCAGACAGTGAAGATAACAAATCTCCAGTAATGTCTATTGCACCAATAAGACATCAGGGTTGTGTTAATAGAGTAAGGTAAATATATAAACTTCTCAGTTTAAAAAGGAAAAATTTATCCAAGTTACACTATATGTAATACGTGTAAAAAGTATATCACACAAATGGTGAAATATGGTCGTTTTTTTTTTGTAAACTCAAGTATAATTAGTAATTAATAAGCATGAAGTTAATAAATATTGTATTTCATAAATGAAACAATATTGATAATAGCAACCTAGCTTCTCAACTTGGAACGAAATAACTTCTACATGAGATCTCACATGTTACAAATGTTATCCTGTTATAAGTAAAAAATGGAAATTAAAAAGCAAACTGTTCATACACACTGTAAAAGGAATGTATAAATGTTACCATACTGGTTGGCCAATAGTAAATAATACTACCATTTGATTTATTGTCGGTTATTAAGTAAAATATGTTTATGGATTTCAATAGGTATACAAAAATTGATCAAACACCTTTAGCAGCAAGCTGGAGCGAATTAGGTCGTGTACACATTTGGAGTTTAAAGGAACAATTAGAAGTACTTGAAAACGAGGAGCAGCTTCATGCATATCGTAAAAAGAGTGAAAAGAATGATAGTGGCATTAAGCCATTATTTACTTTTAAAGGGCATCTTGCCGAGGGATATGGCCTCGATTGGTGTTCAACGGATACAGGTACCATAGCGTCCGGTGATTGTAAAGGAAATATTCATATATGGCGCATTGGTGACAATAATGGTTGTGCAACATGGCACGTGGATCAGAGACCCTATAGTTCGCATGCGCCATCCAGTGTTGAAGATCTTCAGTGGTCTCCTAATGAAAAACATGTATTGGCTTCGTGTTCTGTTGATAAGAGGTAATCCATGTGTTTATATCCAAGGAAAATACAATACTTCTACATGTTTTATGTAATAGTATAATATTGATATAACTTCAACAGCATTAAAATCTGGGACACAAGAGTAAGTCCACAATCTGCCTGTATGTTAACAGCAAGTGGCACTCATACTGCAGACATTAATGTTATCTCATGGAATCATAAAGAAAGTCAATTTCTTGTATCTGGCGGTGACGATGGTTTGATTTGTGTATGGGACTTGCGCCAATTTGGTCCTAATGCGAGGCCATTGGCTATGTTTAAGCAACATACTGCACCTGTCACGACAGTAGAGTGGCATCCTCAGGAAGCCACAGTTTTTGCTTCCGGCGGGGCTGACGACCAAATCGCGGAGTGGGATTTATCAGTAGAAGCTGATCAGTCGGAAGAAGTGGAAAGTAGTGAGCTGAAAGATTTACCTCCACAGTTGTTGTTTATACATCAAGGTCAAACAGACATTAAAGAACTACATTGGCATCCTCAATGTCCCGGTGTTATAATATCAACAGCTCATTCGGGATTTAACATATTCCGTACAATTAGTGTATGAAAAAGTTTACCTCTTTCGTAATATACTATTTATAGAATACTTCATCGGTCTAATATTATTTTACTGTATAAAAAAGTAATTTCGATTTTATTTACATTGGCTTTCTATATCGTTCATAAAGAATATTCATTAAGTTAAATATGATTAAAACCGTCTTTGTTATTACATATAACTTGTAAACTTTCTTTTCATACTGAGACTCAATGTTAAATGTTGCTTATATTTAAAATAAAATATTTTGTTTACTATATTAAAAAAATTGTATTCAGAGTATAATTCATTTGTGTGTAAGATGTAAAGATAACAGGTGCCTTATGGTTGGTCTACCGTGAGGACAACTCCAAGGATTCTCCATTTGTGCCATTTGCAATACTAACTTTTGCATTTCATTGTTGTTAAGAGCTGTGCCTATCATAACTGCACTGCGACAGGCTCTGGAGGCTAACATTTGTCTTACTCGAGATGGACGATATATGTGGTTTTCTTTATTTTCTATACCTCCTTCTCTAATTAGAAAAATTAATTCTTCTATATCGTCTTGTCCGAATTGCCAATAACCACTGACCGGTATACCTGTTAGATTTACACGATGCCCACATTCGGCTGAAATATAAAGTATTTGTTGTTACACTTGATATAATTGTATTACACCTTCTTAAGCATAACATTTTCTTAGTGAAAATTCCACAAGAAACACCTGCAGTTCAGTTATTACAGTTTAACAACATTTTAAACTTATATTTACCCAGAGAATCAATATTGAATGAAAAACCGTTGTCTTCAAATGTTTTCTGATGTTCGATTAATATTGTTTCATTTAATGATGAAAGATTTAAAGGTTTGGGAACAATTAATTTCTGCGTTTTCAACTGAGTTTCGTTATTTAATTTTTCAAAACGATATTTTTCATCTGTAGCATGCTGATCAATGATAAACAGATCCTCGTTTAAGCAAGCTATGATGAAACCAAGATTAAATTGACCTATAATCTCCATCTGTAATTAATTAATTTTCTTTTTTTAAGTTGTTCTTCAAAAATAGGTAGACAAATACAAAATATCATAAATATTACAACCTTATGAAAACATTCCTTTGTCAGTTCTCGTTTCAATTCGTTTTCAGCATGAGAATTTTGATTAGATTCCATTTTCGCTTTATATTTAATTCTTGTACTTGTGCTCGCATATTTCGGTGATACATTCTTACTTTCTTGAAGTTTTTGTTTTACTGTTAAAATATTGATTGTCATATCTACATCGTCTAATCTTCTTAGCAGACTTGTATCATTTTGTGTATCATTACTTTCATTGCCATAATTATCATCATATTGTACAGTCTTCTTTTCTTTACATTTTTCCTCATCTTTTGTTTCACTGTATGATTCAGAGTGTAAAGTTTGTAATCTTTTTGCTAGTGGAGCTGTATTCGTGGGTGAAATTGCTCTTTTTATTCGTAATTGTAATTCAGGTACTGTTTTTACAGTTAAATTTCCTTGTAGTTTATCCCATTTTGTTGTTAAACTATATTTTAACGTTGCTAATATTAGACTTTCTTGTATACAGAAAATAGTTCTTTTATCTGGAGTCACATTGATATCGGTCGACTGTTTGTTTAATTTTAAATTTAGAAAAACAAATGGATATTGTTTGTTATTGTATTTATGATAAATATGATTGATTAGTTTATTGATTTTTATGAGATCACACGGTCGTCCATTTACATAGAAAAATTGCCTATCAGGAGTAGAGCGTCCAACACCGTGTTCGCAACTACTAACATAGCAGTCCCATTCAAAGTCCACAACTACATTACTCGGTAAACTGTATTCTTGCGCTGTGTCTTCATCAGGAGGTAGCAATTCAAGTTTTACAAGTCCATTAGAAGACTTTTTACCGAATACTACATTAATATTATTCAAAATGTCATTAGAAGATACAGTGCTGACTACAAGATTAGAACATTTACCCGACACAGAATTGGAACATGTTATCTTTGTTTCAGTAGAAACCAAACAATAACTGTACAACACCTGAATAGCTCGAGCATATTCCCTTTTCAGATTTTTCTGAAATTCTTTTGCTCTTACTGGAAGACACTTAAAAATGTTTTGAACATGTATAGTAGTTCCAACTTCTCTTGCACATGCTTCTTTCTTTTCTAATATACCATCATGATCAAATTGTAATTTGAAACCATGTTCACTAGTCGCATGTCTCGTAATAATAGTTAACTCGGACAAAGAACACAGGGAACTGAGAGCTTCTCCACGAAAACCAAATGTGATTACTTCTGTTAAATCCGAAAATTCTCTAAGTTTAGATGTGTGATGTTTCAATCCTGGTTAATAGAAAAAGAATGTACTTTATACAAAAAACATATTTTCTTTCTTCTTAAAAAGTAATAAAGTCATTTTATCAAATAAACGTTATAGTCATACAATATACCTAATCCTTCAAAGTCCTTTTCTAAAACACCACTACCATTATCACTAACACTAATGCAGGTTTTGCCATGATCCTTTAATTTAATATCAATTAATGTCGCTCCACTATCTAAGCTATTTTCTACGAGTTCTTTTACAGCAGTTGCAAGATCTAGAACCACCTAAAAACAAGTAATGTTCATAATAAATTTATCTTGTACTATAGGTAGTATTAACAATGGATCTTAAATCTTACAATGTATATAAATATATTTCATTATGCTAGAATATGCTATTATCTATATATGCAGTATTTAATTCTAAAAAGTTAAAGGATCTTTAATGTTTTATATATACCAAACTTTATAAAAATGAAAGAAAACACTTTTTATTTATCTTTATACAGAAATATCTGAATTCACATAAAGCAAGTGAGGTTTTGTATTCATTACTAGTCTTTTAAAAATAGTAGTGATAAATAAAAGGTATGAGCACATAGTAAAATAAATAAATTTTTAATTTATTAAAATTTTAAAAACACAATATAGATATCAGTTCTATAAGTTAAAGCTCATGGAGTAAATAAAAAATAACAATATCATTTGTATGCTAATTTTTATCCAAGACATGAAGAGATATGTCAATGCAATGTGTTAAATGCATTAATATGTTTCAAAATCTACTTAACTTCGTTTATTAAATTTATAATATTGACTGTTAATGAACAAATCAGAATATTAATAGGTTAATCTTACCTGTCCAGAACAAATTTGATGAACTGTTTGTTTGTTTATAGCATTAATTTTCTTCGATTCTTCTGTTGTTGGAATTGGTTCTGTCATCGTTAATATTTCACTGTAAGTATGACAATACGTGAAAACAGAAATATTCGTTTTTTACGTTGTAAGTATAATCATTTCATATCATGCATACGTTTTTATTACAATAGACGACTATCTGTCATGCTAGACATCTTTTTAAAAAATCTGATTTTGCTTCAGTGTTTAGAATTAAATATTTTGAATTCACATTGTAGTCGAAAGTACTTTCCTTTAAGAGCGCTTCATTGTTTACAAAATTTTTAAATCTGATGGGTTGACATTTTAAGGGTGGCACACCCCATTTCTGTTATGGCGCGAAAATTCAGTGTAAACGATTCTGCCTCTCTGGAATCTGGAAAACACGTGAGTGCTGGAATTATTATTACTGATTGTTAAGTTTTTAGTACCAAGAATAAGAATAATTCCGTATTGTCGTGCATACTTATTAATTTAGTATATTCTTACGCGATTTTAATATTATTTTGCGACGACTACTATGGTAGTGAGCTGTCTGAACTTTCAATAAAATATATGCGTTCACAAATTATAATTATGAAAGTTGTTTTATCTATGGCACGAATTCAATGTTAATAAATACTTTTTTATTGTTTAAGTATCTATGTGCATTAAATAGGACATCTGAATGTATCCTATGGAAAAGTAAAAAATAAGGCTGTAAAATAATGGTTAGTGTCAAATATTTTCACTGTTCTATATTAATTTTTTTTTCTACTACTATCCACTTAAAATGTCACAGTGATTTTTAACGGAATAAGGGAACGTAGGATACGATTATGTTTTTCACTAGAATGTAATCAAATTTAATTTATAGTGTTTACAATGTTTTCTGCAGTCAGTTTCCACAAAGAATAAATGCCATTCACGAATGTATAACATATATCAAAATGCTATATAACATTATTACAGTTCCCTTCGTATATGCAACCGAGCACTTGTAGCATTTCAAGTGTTCGATCGAAGTACAAGGACTTCAGGAGGCTAACAGAAATTTAACGACAAAAATGAAGATGCGTTTGTTTATTATTAACCTTATGTAATATCGTTTCAAATTTTCAATTACATTATTATATATAAGAAAAATAAAAATAAAAATAATAATAATCGCAATAATCGTAATAACCGTAATAATTATAATTGTAGTAATAATAATAGTAGTAGTAGTAGTAGTGGTAGTAGTAGTAGTAGTAGTAGTAGTAGTAGTAGTAGTAGTAGTAGTAGTAGTAGTAGTAGTAGTAGTAGGAGTAGTAGTAGTAGTAATAGTAGTAGTAGTAGTGGTAGTAGGAGGAGCAGGAGTAGCAGTGGTAATACCAATAAAAGTAAATGGTAATAATTATAATAAAAATAATCATAAAAATATTAATAATAGTAATAGTAAAATAATAGTAGACATAGCAGCAGGAGGAATAATAATAAAAATAATAATGCTAATAGTTAACAATAATAATAATTATAGTAGTAGTAGCAATAATAATATAATATAATGAAAATGTTTACAGGGTACATACAACGTTTTTTTTTTTCATCTTGTATGGAGGTTTGTTAAGTATTTTTCATCTTAATAAATCGGTTTCTTTTAGTTCAGTTTGTTTCTCTGTATTCATTCCTTATATTTTTCATGTCGGTCAGCGTATGCGATCATCAAACGAGACCCTCGGACGACGACGACAACAACGACGACTCTCTCCATCTCACACACATCCCGAAAGACGCTCGCATCCCGCGTAACAGACATTATTATCAGTCGTATTATAGTATATTTTCTGAACACAATGTTTTTACACATGACGTTAGGAAACTTATGTTATTTTAATCCGGCTATGATGTGTTCCAAAGAATTCGAATCGAAAATTGTGTGCATATCCTCATGTCTTTATTGGCAGATTCGAATACTTTATCTCTATTCTCTGTATAAAAGAACAAACAAGTATTACACATTTACGTTGAGTCTTTAAAAAAAAAAAGAAAATAAAAAAAACGAATCCTCTACCGATCTCTCGAAAGGCGGTAAACACGCCGTGGATTATTCTTGTCGCAAACACACCGCAAAAGGGGATTTTTTTGTTCACGTTACTCCTGAAATGACAAATAATACACACATAAATTTGTTCGATGACGTGTCAACCGTCAACAGAAATTTCCATACTTTATTCAATCTTAAAGAATGTTGTTTCACATTGGAAAGGAAATTATTTGGAACACAAGCCGGCTCCTTATGCTATTTTAAATGTATACATCTCTGTTGTCTGCTAATTGGCATAAATACTCTGCATTTTGCGACAATTGTTAAGTGGACAAATTTTTTTCCCCGGGGGTACAAAAGCTATAAGAGAACGCGTATATATGTATGTATATATACGTTTTATATATGAATTGGGGAGAAATACGAAAATATCTCATGAACGTAGCAGCCTCTGTAAAAAGTTTCCGTATGAAAAATAAAAAAAAAAGTCTATCGGCGCGTTTTGAAAACAATCCAATCGCTTGTATAATTACGAATCTCCGTATATCCCGACCGAATATTTTCAACGTTTTTCGTCAACTCGACGCGTTCCTTAATCATGTTTCCTTTGTTTCTCGTGTTTTTTCCTCCAATTTTTCTTTTCACTTTTCTACGATTAATCAACCCCCGCGCCATTTCCATTCGAGTATTCGTCGAGAATTTTTTATCTGCAAAATCTGATCCAGTTTCGTGAACTACTATGTGTATAAACGTTTTCCCCTTGTTTCCTGCTGCCAGTATATCTCGAAAAAATGGAATATATTCGAATTCAAGTCTCGCGTGACGATCGTCGTTTTCCCCCCCTTTTCAAGGGGAGGTGGGCGCGATTTTTGTGTTACACACGTCGGAAACAGTACGATACAAATCCAATCTCGTCTCGCTGCGCGTAAACAACGTACGCATAATCATCGTTATCGAAAAAAGAAAGAAAAATCAACAATCGTCAGATGAGAAAATGCTTCGATAATGCGTTCGAAAGAAAAAAATGGCCGCGATGCGCCCATAGGTCGATCTTCTGAATCTTCTCTCTTGTTCCCTCTCATCGAAAGAAAGTTTTAAAAAAACAATGCTTGCCAACCCCTTACGCTGCGCAACTTTTTTTTCTTTTAATTTCGTTATCAAAAAGCGAAGTTTCTCGTACCAAAATACACAAGTGGAAAAAAGAAAGATACATATATATACACATAGGGAGGGAAAGAGAGAGCAAAGAAAAAAATCTGACCTCACGAAACGGGACCGATGAGCGCAACGCGGACGCGAATATGTGAATTTCGGAAGAGGGCACACGTGTGAGTTATCACACACTTTTTCGTCTACGTTTATCGAGCGTACTGATTTTTGCCGTTCAACAAGATCAATCGAAATTCGTCGGAATTCCCCCACACGGGGATGGCCTTCCGACCGGTGATACCTTCAAATAATCTTACGGTTTTTCATCGTGCATTTTTGTATTCTTTGCTATGAAAAATCATATACGTGTCTCTAAAGTTATACTCTCTCTTTCTCTCTCTCTCTCTCTCCCTCTCTTATAGCGACCTGAGAGAGAGAGAGAGATGTCGAGATAAAACGTTAGACGTTATAAACTCATGGAATTTTTGAACAGCTTTCCTCCTGATCATCTATGACTGTGACACTTCAGTTTACACACACCCCATTTTTGCGACTGTCTCATTTCTCATTTATTTTCAGCTTGAACAAAAAAAAAGAAAAGAAATCGTTGTACCTCTTAAGATTTAAAGTATTTATACGTTAACGTACGCGTTCGTACATTCGGGACGAAGAGAAATTACTCTAATAACGCAAGTGTTTGTTTTTTTTTCTCCTTTTCGTTACTCGAGAGCGTCCAATAAGAATCCGAACGAATATATGTCGTTTCGCGAGTTGTTAATTCTATCGGTGAATACTTAAAAAAAAAACCAAAGAAAAAATACAATATTCTAAGAAGTCCATCCCGAACAAAAAACAATTCGCTGTTAATTCGCAGAAATAAGATTACACGTTGTGAGACTGACTCCTTGAGATGCTCGAGAAATAAAATAGTTTCTTAATGGTTTTCGTACATCGAGTGAACCTAGTTTTGGTATAATAAATTGTAACAATACGAATGAACGAATCCATCACTGATACCATTAAAAAGTAGTGTATTAAAAATTTAATCGATGTTAAAAAAACACATGGTGTCTCATATGCTCGTAGTAAGGTAAGCTGAAGGACAAGCTGACAATACTTGTATACAACAATAAAACATTTAAGTATCCGTTTGAATCTATAATGGTAATAATTCGTTTCATATAAAACAATACAAAACCGTCAATAAAATACGATAAAATAAGTTTTTTTTTTTAAAAGTTCAGCCTGTTTAGTACATGCGCGTCGCAACAAAAAAAAGAGAGAGCGACAGAATAAAACATGCAAGATATTTCAAGGATCGGTTATTTGTTGCGCTGTATATGTTGTTGATAAGTATCGAAAACTTTTTTTAGATCATCCGTCGTGTCTTGTCTCGATTTTTTTTCCTCGCTTTATATATTATCTTATCGCTATTGATACAATTTATTTGTATTTAATGTTTCGCATTCTGGCATCATATCTGTGTACCGTGATACTTTTTTTTAGCAGGACACAACTAAAAATAAAGAGGACAAAAAAAACATACGAAGGAAAATACTTCTTAAAATGACCTGTGTTAGTCTAATAATCAAGATATTCAAAAAACAAAAAAGATATGAAGAAGAAGAAGAAGAAGAAAAGTACCGAGATTGCCAGAAAACGATTACGAACTTACGCCGAAGGTGTAACAATATTAATATAAATAAACGCTACAATTATCAAAGTGAAACGGCAAAAATCAATTACGACCGCCATTGGAAACATATGCATATGAGTACGCGCGTATCGTTTATTATAAAGTATCTAGGTTTTTTTTTTTTTGGATGATTATATCATTCTTGATCGATCTTACGTGTATACTGCTTTTTTTAACTTTCTTATTACTGTGTATTCTTTTTCCTTCTTCTGTATAAATATGTATTGTTGTTGAATCATGCAAACCTCGTTTGTTTAAAGTCCGTTGTTTGTTTTTTTTCTTTCTCTCAATCAGCAACAAACTAACGTTTGCAACCATCCTCTCTCCCCCCCTCCCTCTCTCTCTCTTCTCTATTCATCAAAGTAAATAAAAGAGTCGAGTGTACAATGTCAAGTGTCCTCTCTTCTCACACTTAAAAACTAAGTCCTAAAGCTGCACTCTTATCAATTATCTATGTATATTGTACAAATAACTAGCATTCGACGCGACTGTTTGCTAGCAATTACTTGCTAAACCGTTTACATTCGTGACATTGTGTATAAAACTCTATTGGAGTATATGCTTACACTGGTAATTCTTACTTTTTTTTCCTCCTGTTATTATTTTTTTTATGCATCTTTATAATAGTAATTATCACGTTTTCGCTCTCTAGGCCACACAGTTTTGGTTGCCAAAATTTTTGTTAACGACGTTTCTCTTTTTTTTTATTCTTACTCTCTCTCTCGCGCGCGCTCTCTCTCTCTCTCTCTCTCTCTCTCGCTCTCTCTCTCAATCTCTCAATCTCTCTGCACGCGACATAAAGCATTCTTTTTATGGAGTGTTCGTAGAATCGGGCAGGACCCGAGAGGCCAGCTGGGTTCATCCTCACTAGACCATGTTTTGTCCGTCCGTGCTCAATAAGCAAAGTATCTCATAAGCTTCAGCGCGCCGGACGCGGTGTATCCGTGCCCAAATGTAAGACCAGTCGGCTTCTTAAGATAGACAAACAGAAGACTAAGAAAGGTAAAGAAAAACAAACGGAAAATAGGAGACTTCCCTCGTGTTTTCCTTTGCATTCCTTCGTGATACTCCTTTTTATTTTTCGAATCGATTGTTCTCTTTTTCTCGGTCTTTTATTTCCTTTAGAAGCCGGCTCGTGTACTCTATGTTTTTTTAAATCCCTCATTCTCATGAACGAACGAACGAAGAGCATCTCTCTCTGCACGATGAGCTATCTCTTTCTGGTTAAGCCCCCCTCCCCCTTTGTCAGCCAGTTAGCATGTGTCTGTCCCCATTTTGAATAATCGAAACAGTATACTTTTATATACCAATGTCGATATAGCATTCCTAACGTGACACTTTTTTTTTCACGCGGTGACAGCAGCATCGTGTACACACGTTCTCGTATTGCTACTTCGAGGATATCGTTCGCGGCGCGGCCGACACTAACGACGAAATGCAAAGCAACGCAACGGGGAAGGACCTTCAAATTCCTAACTGCCCGTTCTCATTGCTCTCTCCCTCCCTTCCCCTTGTGGTTTCTTACACTTCTCTCCTCCTCTGTTTTCTTTTCATAACCAAGTTACGATTTCTCTCATTTTACCGCGGTATCGTCGTGAACATCATCATCATCATCATCACCATTATCATCATCATCAATCGTATATACAGTATGTATAATCACCCTAATATATATTTTGTTGACGGTACCGCGCGCGATCGCGGCGACAGTACGACGTGTATCTCATCTATATATCATCGACCGTCGTCGGTAGCTTCGTGTGTTCGCTCATATTTTTCTTTCCGTTCAGTGAATAGCAACCGGACTTTGCTGGACGCATACACCGACCATAGGACTGTCCTCCCTTTCCGGGTCTCTCTGTTTACCGGCCGAGACCGTCGACGGTTGCCTGACTATCCCGTGGCCGTCGCCGGTCGGATAACCGTAATTGTAGAAGTTCTGCTGCTGTATCATCGGCGAGGTCATCATCGCGGGCAGATGGGGTATACCAGGGAGAATTAGGCTATTATACGATCCGAGAGAGCTTTGTATCAGGGAGCTGTCTACAGACTGCATGGACATTGGCCCGGATGCAGAGACCCCGGTGGCCGAGGTTGACGGATAGCTCGTTGTCACGACACGTCGACTGGCCAGATGCCGAGGCGATGACTCGCACTCCATCGGTTGATAGCCACCAGGGAGACTTGATCCTTGCATCGGATTGCCACTGTTGCCGCTTCCTTGTCCTGACATGGTTACCAGTCCTGGGACATCAAGAAAGAAAGAACCTTGGGTCAGTGAACGACAGTGTCAACGGGTCCGTCACACGCTAACCCAAATGATCATCCAATGAATTACTAGGCTCTTAACGACAGAACATCACTATGGGAGAGTCAAAAAACACATGAGAAAAAAAAATATATATTCCAGAGAGAGTAAAAAAAAGATGTACTACAGGGATATACAAGTACAGGCAACTTAATCGTTTTCACTTTCAGTTCATTCGCCGGTTTTCCCCCCTTTCGGTGTTCTACCACAAGTGACAAACCGTTCAATTTTACGTTTCTACACTGGTAACTATGAAACTGAGGTATATACCGGGTAATAAACTACTGATATATAATCAGGAATTTGCATTTGGTAAATTATTCATTCTAGCTCCGATATATATTTCTTTGTATATGATGTCAGTTTGTAATTATGGTCTATTGCGAATAATTAAAGAAGAAGCATTCATGATGATCCAATTTTGAGATTGCACATACAAACATAGTCGTTGGAAGACAAGAATAGATCTGATGAACTTCTACATACTTTTCTGAATAATCTAAATTATTATGACATACCCTTTATTATTTAAAATTATAATTAAAATTCTGTATAGAGGATTGGTTATATAGTCTTATGAAGAAGAATGAAGTCCTAACCAACATTTTTAGTTACAAAATTGAACAGATGGATTACAGAAAAAGATTATACTTTTAAAAACTAAGAAAAAATGTATTCAAATGATCAAATTTTCATTTAGAATATTCTTTTTTCGATAATCTTGTAACACTCCTTACTCTTTTTATCATATTATATTAATATATTAACAACAAGTATCAGTACAATTGCTGAATTTTCTTGAGACAAAGATGAAATTTTAGTAAAATATATCGAGTACTAAAATCCACAAATTTGTACAGAGTGTCCCGTTAGTAGTGCAGCACCTAATAAAGAGGGAGCCATGTAATTAAAACAATAGAAAATAATGGTTTATAAATTAAAACGAATCTAAAACAATTGATTAATACTGAAAGAATAAAACAGATATTAAATTGTGAATTAAAAATAAATTGCAATCCTGGGTATGTGCATCCATATTTAATTACAAATGAATTATCTTGAATAACATCCTGAGATTCCTGACTGTCCTAAATTGTTATAGCTTTCGGGACACCTTGTGTGTAATTACTACATAAAATGAATTTTATATACCATGATAAGTAGTGAAGATACTCTTGATTGCATATACTGTTTTTTTACCCTTTAAAACAAACATATATAAAAAGTCAAAAAATTATTCGAACAAAATAGAATATGAAGGGATGAATGTGCAGACTATGGGTAGACGAAATTCTTGCGTGGCACACAAGAATTCTCACTTTAACGACAAAGTCTAATGTCTTGCATATTTGACGAAGATGCACTCCTAAACGTGCTATATGCAAGCAGTTAAAACATGCATGAAATAAAGTACAAGACAATGAAGTAATCGCTCTACAGAATAAAAACTTAATTAACACATATATGCAATTCAAATACTGTCCAGTTGGAATATGCTCTTTGAAATCAACTGACTAAAATGTTACATATGCATACAATGGAACACATGCCATAACGGCCATTACAATTGTCGTATGCTTCATAACCTATATGTTGGAAAAAAAAGCATATTCCAGCAATGATATTTGATGTTTACTAGTTTTGTAATTCTAATGTAGCACGTCATATCGACAAGAACATTCTTAGGTAACTAAGATAGTAATTTTATTGCAGATGTATCAAATATTGTAGAGGAATTATTGTATTGAAGTCTAGAGGCACGGGCAATCAACGTGAATCCGTGTCTCGTTTCAGAGAGTTAAAAGTGCGAGTTTCGTTTGGTCAAGCAAGCAAGGTTTTTCGCATATTACATCCGAGGCCAGGATATGATTATCAGGGACATTGTTAGTCTTTTTTAGCTTGTAGGATTGTTTGTTAGACAGAACTTACTTATGTTAGTAAGTAAGATTAGGGTTGGGGCCTAGGACAGGTCGTCGCCGCCCCGCGGATACGACAGTCATCGAGCCACGTACTGTCCCCCCATCATATCTACGGGCAACAACAAGTATTGTTTAGTTTGCGCAGAAAATAAAAGATATCAGTAAAGAGTGTACTATTAAAATAATCGATTATTAAACACTTTATAATTTGATGAAATCAAATATTAACAAAACGGTCCTTGCGCTTGGCTATTATACGATCAAATGATCTCTTTACAAATGTGCAGTTAACGGCCAATTTTTTAATTACTCTCTTCGCAATTTATTAGTAAACCAATAGTATATAAAAGTGTCTTATTTTCTGCACAAATTAAAACCTGCCTAAATCTTCAATACAATGGAGCAGTTCCATAAAATGTTGAGTTGTAGCTGACTTGATCTGATACTAAACTGTAGAGACTCAGGCGAGAATTATTTATGTTCTGACTGATTTTTTGTGCAACAAACATAGTCATATAAGATGAGAGAATTGTAATAAACTGTGTAAAAAGTACATAACTAAGTAACGATTAATTTTTTGAATATCCTTAACATTTTCACTCTGCCACACTAATGATATTTTTAATCTATTAAAATCATAAAGCTATGAAGTTGAAAACTCGAGGATCTTAAATGGTATGAAAAAGGTGGTATATGATATAAATAGAATCTATGACAAATAAACCCAACTGATATATGGCATCATATTAAGATCTATTCATATTTTTAATATTCAGACACGTGGTTAATAAAACTTACATATACCCTACAACATTCTGAAGTATGTATGTATTTTCTTTATGAAAAATTCCCTTAAAGATGATGGTATCTGCATGAAAATAATGATTTAATATTTCTGTCGATTATTAGATAATATTATTGTTCTTCGATCAAAGAAAGTTACGGAAACTACAGTACAGTTTGAACTGTAACGAGAACGTATGAGTAAGAATTTATATATAAAGCATGTTAATTATAAATAAGGACCATCAGTAAATCGGTCAAAATCTCGAAATTCGAAGGATAAAAATGATCTGATATGTAAAATAAAATGATACTTTATGTGTATCGATAGGTCTGTAATAACTAACCGTGATCCTGGCTCATCGACACCACTGCCGGGCTCGTGTTAGCACTGTTGGCAGCAGCAATATTTGTGTTGGTCCCCTCGTCGGCTGTACGCTTAAAGAAATTGTGCTGAAGTGCGTAATACGGCGTCACCCTTGTTTTCGGATCAAAGTCCAGCATCCGTAGAATCAAGTCTTTGAATTTGAGGTAATCGGAAATTGAATGACCAGGTTCACCTATCCTTCTACCACCAGGGCCTCCACTCTCGACGCCCAAGATATCGTGCAAGCGCCTCGTACCGGGAGGTTTGTACTTTTTACCGTCCTTCAATTTTTTCAGCACATACGAGCCATCTATGGGGACTTTATCAAAGTATTTCCGCGCTTTGTGCGCTTGGTCCAATATATGTTTCGGTGGCATTCCTAGTACTTCTACGATTTTATTCATTTGATCGATCTGAAAAAAATGGGAGAATTATATAAATCCGTAAGATTGAAACCGTTATTGGAAGCTCAATTATTGACAGAGAATATAAAGGACATCTCGTAAAATGAAGATATAACTTCTGAGGAAAAGTTTAGCATAAGAAGATTGTCATGTTTCATTCTGTCTACGAGTTATTGTTGTTACTAGTGTTTTAATCGACTTCATGATTGAACCTGCTAACGCAAGTAAATATATGTATATGTGGGTATTTTAATAATACCTTATGTGAATATATTAAACGACTGATATAACATAGGAAATATAATATTACAGTAGTATTTTCTACCCTTACATATTGTGAAACACATTACATAATACTATCGAGATTAGTGTTAGATATCATGAATGAAACGTGCATCGAAGAGCTATGCACTGACCTAAGACTCTCAGAAATAAAACCGACAAACTCCAAGAAATAAAAATATAGAATATTCGAAATGTAACCTGAACTACACGAACAAACAAATACACAGTAAATTATTCAACATATAGGTTTTATATTACAAGATACATTAAAAACCTATTCAACGCGATTAAATTTCTAAAATTTACCAAAGATGAAGTTGACCAGTTCATCTTCTGAGAGTCTTAAAAAGAAAAAAATATGTTTTACACTATTTCGGTTACCTCGTTGGCCCCACTGAACAGAGGTTCTCCTGTATGCATTTCAACTAAAATACATCCTAGACTCCACATGTCTATCGCAAGGTCGTAAGGTATTCCTAACAGGACTTCAGGTGATCGGTAAAACCTCGACTGAATATACTGGTATATCTAAACGCAAAACGGTTCAGAATTAATCGAATGAACACGTTAAAAAAGAACATTGTCAGACGATGACCGACACTCACTCTCTGTCCAAGCTGACACGAACTACCGAAGTCCACTATTTTTATCGCACTTCGTTTGGGATTGCACAAAAGTATGTTTTCGGGTTTCAGATCACAGTGAATGATGTTCAATTCCGGTGTAGACAGGAACAAAAGGGCAGTACACAGTTGCTGTGCAAACTTCCTTGTTAAGTTCAACGACACTCCTCGAAAATTCGTATTTCTAAGTAGATCGTACAGATTATACGATAACAGTTCGAATACCAGACATAAGTGATTCCGCCACATAAAATGCCTTTTCAGTTTAACTGCAATTGGAAAAAATGGTTCTCGTAACACGAATCACATTTAATTTACGATCGACTATGAAACAGAAGAGATTGGTAATTACTGTGTCGGACACAAACCTATATAATATTTGTTTTCGGTATCCGCCCTGTTCATCATTTCCAATAGCCTCACTTCGATTTGCGCTTGATTTAGAAAAGGTTTTTTATTCTTGATAATTTTTATTGCCACTTGCGTTTGTTCTTCGTGATCAAACGCTTTCACTACTTGGCCGAAACTGCCTTTACCTGCAAGTTACATGTTTAATTGTGATCGTCTGGCATTTTAACCGTGAGACTTTATCGGTAGTTTGCTAAAATATTGTGTATGGTTTGCTGGCATAATATACCAATATAGCTTAGTTTTACTAAACATAAAAGGTACGAGTAATTTAGAATTATTTAAAGTTCTGCCTAATTATTCTACTTATTATATGTATTATCTTTTTTAATATTCTATTTACTTTATTACTTTTGGAGTATATGAATTGCTAATTCGTTACGTACGTCTGCTCATTTGTCTGTTCTTTACCGATTACTTTTACGTATGTTACTGTTTATAAGCATCATTTGTTTTCCTGAAACATTTACTATACACAAATATAGTAGAATCAGTTTATAATCGATTTACCTATTAACGAATCGATCTCATAGCGATCGAGGAACTTTTCCCCATTCTTGATAATATAATCATGATTATCGTCATCCCAGCCATCGTTGTACAATTTTCTTTCCTTTTTATGAGAACCATCTTCTCCTTGCATTTGTTGCGCCCTCCTCTTCTTCTTAGCGTAATAAACCTGTAAATGGTGAACATGAATTAATTAGTTACAAAAAAAATAACACGTACAAGAATGGTATCAGAACGTATTCATTAAAACTTTTTCGTTCCCTTTTTTCAACTTTTAACAATCATCGAAGTTTGTACCTATAATTCTGAAATACTCTATGTAGACCGGTTTTTGATGACCGACTTTTGTACCGGCGAATTTCTATTTGCGCTACATTTACTATCCGGTATGGAATTCTCCAAAGTAATACTGAAGATCTTGCGAAGCATCCAGAGCATATGAAGCTAAATACATCGTTTGAATTTGATTTAGAAAACATGTATTCCTTCCCAAAAGGTCATAAAATTAAAACAATATGAATTCGCATAAATGTATGCAGTGTAATAATAACTGATAAATTACTTGTTTAGACATTTATTGAAAATGTGTAAGAATTACAACTGTCGCATTAATATATATAGTGTGTAAATAACATATTTTTAAGCATATTATCTGTCAAATTTCTTTAATTTCAAACGAATCTCTTTTACTCCCTTATCTGACTAGTGTCATAATGTTTTGTTTATGCCAAGTTTTTTGGTTTCAATGAGTCTTCAACATTTCGAATTTCTATCATTCGAGCTAAGGTTGTATTTCAAACGATTAATCTAAAATCGAACTTAACTACGAATCGATGTGAACTACAATAACGAATACATAAACAATGCCCCCCTAAATCATTGTCTTTCTTTGAATAATTCTCCGCGTTGGAACTAGGTGATAATACCTCACCGATCGTTTAGGCGTAAAGCATAAAAGAAGAATAAAAACAAAAGTAACTGAATAAATGTATGTAGAATAAAAAACAAACATCGTTTACCTCATTGATGTGCTTGTAAGTTTTGATGAGATCGACACTGAGTTTCCTAAGGGGTGCGGTGGCTGGATCACGAAACCTATGGGGTATCCTGGCTTGCATGGCGTGAATATCCGCGGGAGTTTCTTGGGGAACCCCACCGGTTCCGCCGCCGGCACCTGCACCCCCGCATACCGAGGGGGGCAGGGGTTCCTCTGCAACCAGACGACCATAAAGAGGTGCGCCACCTCCGCCTCCGCCCGTTCCCGCCCTCCCGCCTACTGAAATTCAAACAACATAGAATTAGTCATAATCGGTAAAAGCTAGAGGACAATTTTATTGACTTTCAATTACACCGACAACCCTTCGGCTACGAGTGACCTCTATAAGCAGATCACACATGACCAAAGGCCTCTATAGTGAAACACGTGTAACGAAAGATCATCAATAGTGTGCTATGGGCCACGAAAAACTTCAATAGTGAACCATGTGCTAAGATATCCTTCTATAGTGGACTACGTGCCACGAAAACCTTCTACAGAGGATTATGTGTTAGGAAAACCTTCTATAGTGGATTACGTTCCACAAAAGTCTTCTATAGTGGACTACGTGCCACGAAAGACCTCTACAGTGGACTACGTGCCATAAAGGACTACCATACTATTGTAATTAGTGGGTAAGACATAACGAATTAGTAACATTTTTTGTTATAACCGCAAAGACCTTCATCATGCATTAGGTCGACCCTCTTTAGAGAAAGTTGATATGGATAGGCCTAAAAGCCCCTTCAGGCCCTTAGGAAGCTCCAGTATAATTCAGCCCCCGTTACTTTCATCGTGAAATATATTTTTCTTCCCTTATTGCATAGAAGCCTAAACTATAATAGAACAGTTTAACCGGCTTGTGCACTATCCAAGCCTAACTTCTGGCCTACTTAACTCACATCTCGTGAATGGTGTCGCCCCTTACAGCCAGTTCAGACGATACGGTTTTTTGATCAGTTCGGTAATTTTGCCGAATCGGTAACAGCTGAAAGCAGCACTCACACGTACAAACAAAGGAACTACATGTACGCATGAAAGATGGATTTTGGGTAAAAATACGGAAACGTACAAACGCTGTTTTATTATCGATTTGGCAAAATTACCGGATCGGTCAAAAAACCGTATCGTCTGAACTGGCTGTTTAACTTTACAAATCTGCTAAACCTTGTCCCTCAGGTATAACACATTGCGTACGGATCACGAAATATTCCAGTTTAGTATATTATTTTACCTAGATACCGATGGTTTGCCTAATCGTAACAATTTAATACAACACTCTGTATTGTTCTAAAGTCTTACGATTCGTTGAATGTTGCATAAAAGTTTCTAGGAAGTCCTGCTAATTTCTCGAAAGGGTAAAGGGGTTAATTTTGACGATAGAAGGTGATATTGCAGCTTGTTTATTCCAATACTACTTCTAGATCATTTAAGACTGGCTGCTAATAATCGTAATTCGTTACTGAAATGCAGATAAGCCGTCCAAGCGGATGCATCCATTTCGCTCGGCACACGGCTCGTTGCGCCGATTTAGATTCGCTCCCTCCTTTTAAGGGGTTAACTGATCAATTTGGTTCTTACCGCGGTTTAAATCGTTAAAGAACAATGTTAAGTCGCGCTACGTGTTTTGCGGCTAAGTGTGTGTGCGTGCGTTATGAATGCTTTATAAGATTGGAAAATGCATTGGTGTCAGAAGGAGTTGAATGGTGGTTTTTAACCCCCTGCGCTTAATTTACAACGTTCAGGTGCTGTAAAAGTGGAGTATGTACTGTGAAAATATGCGCGTTGTCTGCGGTTTGAATAATAAACGGACTGCGGGTATTTACGCGAATTCGCATATTTTACAAAGTAATTTACATAGTCAGGAATTAAATATAAAATTGTTTCCTGTATTAAGAGCTCTGTTTGACTGAAAACAAAATAAAAGAATGGATCAAGCTATATCAGAATTATTTTATTAATAGCCGCAGTCTAGTAGTATAATATAGACCTACTACTGAAACTTGTATAAATCTGTTTTATTAAGTTTACGAAGTTTAATACTTGTTTCGAAAAAAACCAGAAAGGTATGATTCCAGAAAGGATGAAAAAATAAGAACAAAGTACGAGAAACAAATTTTTTTCATTTAAGACTTAGTTTTCAAGAAAATCGACTTCGAAAATTAATCCGAAACACGTGCGTTCATCATAGTAGTAAGTAGAAACAGAATGCAATGAACAGACGCGCTAGCCCAGTCCTATTCAATTGCACCCGCATCTATCAGATTGTCAAAGTCGATTTTCCCGAAAACTACGAATTAAATGAAAAAATTTATTCCACATTTTGTTCTTATTTCTTCATAAGGAATCACTTCGTACCCGCTTGTACATATTGTATGTATCTTGTTACTTTAAAGTCAAAAACATCGATATTAAACACACCTATTCTTTCATTTTTTTTAAATTTATTTTTCGATGGAATACTCCTCAACTGAAAACCTGGAGATCTACTTCACATCAGTGAAACTACGTGTCAGTGCTGACAAAACTTAGACGTTAAACGACGACAGAATTTAACGTACTTTTCAAATGAGTGTTGCACCGATGCAACACTGGGCGTTAAAGGTTTAAGAGGCTCCAGTGTCCACTGAAAAGTTTACCAAGGGCCCGCGCAGAAAGGTGGCGCGTATGGTCACGACGGTTACATACGGTGCATGTGCTTTGAGTATCCACGCAACGGGGTCACGAAGACCCAACACACGGAGAGCGCTGGTTGCGATAACCAGCACGCATTCCGCTTCATTCATGTTTCCTGATATAGACTGACTTTCACCCATATATACATGCACAACGTGGCGATTCCTCTAAAACTGCCCCCCCCCCCCCCCCCCCGCTGAGTATTTGTAAACGCGACGTCGGCGGTTGGACGTTCCTCGTACGGCTTCACCGAGCAGTCATCGCCCCTGCGCACCGGGTAAATGAGACACGTCGCGACATTTATTTATAGACGTTTGTTATGCAATAAGGGCCCTCGCCGTTCGGCCAATAAGTTTCTCGCGACGGTCAGACGCGCGTCGACTGTAGAAGAGTCCGATTTATCAAAAGTCGCCCCCCGATCCATTCCCCTATTCTGTACTACGATGTTTAAAACTATTTATTTGTTCGCAGGTAACACCACTACTACCACTGATGCACTGCCGGTAAAGGGACAAACGTGCACTCATAGTATACATTAAAAAAAAAATCGGAAGTCGCCCCTCGATCCTGGTGGTCGCATGCTCTTCCCAGCCTACCCCCTTGCTCTTTTCTCTTGTTCACAGTCCGCCCCCCTAGTTTTTTAGACAGTTCTTTTAATTTTGTTAATTTTTCAATTTTTCGATTCTTTCAACTTCAATTTGGCAAGTCTTGACTTTCAGTTGTCGACGTATGTAACTTCACAATTATCCATTGAACTACTAACTTTCATTGGTAAGTTTCCCCTATTTATATTATTCTAATATTGTTTATTTTTAAAGTTTTAAGTTCAGTTTTACTAAACTATCGTTTCAATTTAATAACTGATTACTAGATTGCAGACTTTATGGGTTTATAGGATATCCGATTGTCTAACGCCCAATAGAGTAAGAAGGTGTAATGTACTCGCCCCCTTATCTAATCGTCATCTAGTAATACAAGGTATAGTATTATATATATATATTACAATAATTTTTGAGTTTTTCGAAAGTTTTACACAAGCATACATACGTCACGTGAATGACGTAGCGTCTCACTGTTTACCACTCCGTTATAATCAAGAAGAAGTTAATGTATGATAATAATAATAAAGACAATTAAATAATAAAAGAAAATCCAGAATGTTAAAGCATCGTAAAATTGTTAATCCATACTTGAAGATTATTGTTTTCTAGTTTTACATTATATAAGTTGTTTAGACACGAAAAAAATTGGGTTACCAGCGTAACTTTTCGAGCTTCGATGTTCATACTGGCACGATTGAGGACGTATGAAAATGATCTGATGCAATTTCCTCTGCAAGAAACGCGTGTAGGAATGTAACTTGTACCAGTACAAGTGTTTCGATAGGACTGAATGAAAGATTCGGTGGGTGAATGAATAGGAAGGTGAGAAACTCACAGAAGGTATAATCAAACGTGAATGACGAGTTAACTGGTCTTTCCCAGTCAACAGGTGACGAGGTGATATCTACACGTCAGACGAAGCGTAAGAAAACATACCATCTCTTAAGCGAACTTTAAGTGAATTGTGCAACGCTTTAAGTGATAATACTGGGATTGAAAATTGCAGATAACAAAAGGTATAGAATTATGAAGCAGTAATGATAGTATTGATCTATTTTTGTTGAAGAAGACGATGACATAGATGAAGAAATGGCGGGAACATGTACTGTCCCATTACACGACGATTATGGATATGCGTTAGGTACTGTTGAAGTAATTACACGATTGCTTATAATTACATATTTGAACAGCTACTGTATTTGAAGCACATGTAATATTTCAAAGAAACATACACAGTTTATGTTACATATTATTAATTGTACCAATACGTAAGCCAATCCACTATGTTTTGTAAAATTGAATACTTATTTTCGAGAAACTGTTCCACTGATATTTTTCCTCATTCTTCAATGTTCGCCTCCATTTTGATAGAAAAAAAAGGGTGGACGGATGTTTTAAATTTAAATTGTGTTACAAGTTTATTAGAAAGATATAATAGATTACTTATTCGTGCCCCCAACATTATATAGAACATACGTACAAAGTGACTCAAGTATGAGTTTTAATATTTTAATTAAGGGATAACACGGAAGCTCAAATGGAATGAAAATTGTCCTATGATAATGTGTCCAATTTATACCACTTTACTAAAATAAATTCATGTATCAATGTACATTAAACATTTTTAAATATTTCAAAACATTATCCTATCTACTTTCTCGGTCACTAAAAATCGAAAGGTGGATTTCACCTTCATAAATAAAAACACTAAAAGAAAGATTCACTCCTGTATTATTGATTTTATCCTTCGAACGTGCCCAAATATAAGAAATATACGTTCGAAGTGTGATCCGGATCAGCAAGAACTACTTTTATTTTATAATTTTCTACAAATACTTATATAAATTTGAAATTCTATTGGTAACTGTACTGATGGATCATTAATTTAAGAAACAAAGAATTTATTTCCCGTTCTGTGTCTTAAAGGCGATCCTCAAGCCAGGAATTCCGCGTCCCGTTCGA